AACACAGATCAGGACAACTTTGTAAGTTGCAATGAGCTTTTTCTATTTTTGTGTTGAGGAAAGGAAAGTATTGTGATGAAAAGTTTATATCCTTTGAGGCTTGGTTAATAGATAGCAATTTGCATTATTAAAATGCTGAAAAAATCATCCAGTTTAAAATATTGACATAGAATTACAATCATTTTAAGTTAATATATTTAAGTCTCATACTAATGACCTAAGAGGAGGAGTGCTTTCTGGAACTTTCTTCTTCTTTTTTTAATGATAAATAGGGAGGACAGAGAATAGGTAGTCAGCATATGGATAAAAGATGTTCTTGAAAGTGAGCCCAGAATAAATGGATCAGAAAGATTTAATGGAACTGAAAAAAGAACCAGTTATGTATATTGAAAGGGCTCAGTGTGCCAGGCAAGATCAATGATAACAATATTACATTGAATCCTATCCTGTCAAAAATAACTAAAGACATAGCCACAGAGGTAAAGGGGAAAATCCTATACATGTCCACACACTAACAAAGAGATAGAATTCTGGCTGAACTCAGACTTGAGGGTTGTAGAACAAAATGCCCCAAGGCAGTGGAACAAAGTCTAAGTCAATTCTGAAGGTCAGAAATTGTGATAAGATATACACTGAGTGGCCAGATTATTATGACCACCCATCAGTACAATGAAGTGAATTAGTTATGCAAATAATAATAATAAAACCGTGAGAGTATTTGCTTAGGAAGTTTTCAATATTCAGTATTTTTGGAAGTGTCAATGAAGTACTGATGGGGTGGTCATAATAATCTGGCTGGTCATAATAATCTGGCCACTCAGTGTATGTTGTAGTACAATACATGGTTAATGATGAAAACAATAGAGGGCGTTCTGCGTATGCAAAGAAAGCATATCACCCATGTATTCTTCTTTAAAAATTACTTAAAAATATAATTCAGTTGACTGAAAGATGGAACAAAAATGAAGTATGGAAAAGTCATGCAAGAAAAGACCAGTGGGGAAACTTGAACTGTAAAAGCAGAAATACATCACTATTATTTTCATGACTATGGATTATGATATAACACAAAATTTGATGTTACCAAATAAATAATTGATGTAATAAAAATAACAAAATAATGACATATAATATAATTAAATACAATTAAAATAATTAATTAGAGTAAAAAATACAAATGTTAGTAATATAATGAATAGCAAATAGACAGGAATTAGGGAGCTGACAGGTACAAGAGGGACACACACTTTAGTTTAAACATGTGGCACATTAAAGGTATTTTATTTTTGGCTCTGGCATTTAAAACAAACATTACAATGCACTTGGAAAACTTTCAGGTAAGTATTAGAAGAACTTAAAACTGTAACAATGCTTCCAGAATAGAAGATAAAAATAAAGAAATATAGGCCAAAAAAAGAGAGAGAAAGTATTCAAAATGGAAAGAATAAGTTGAGACTTAAATAAGGCCGACTATAAAAAAAACACCAAATGCAATGGATTACTTCTTAGAAAAATATAAAAGTTGAATTGATTTAAAAAAGCAATAGAATATCTGAATAGTCTAATCACCATGAAAAAAAACAGAGAAAATAGTCATAGTTCCTCTAAAGGACTCTAGACTATATAATTTTATGACTTTAAAACACTATATGTTATTCCAGAACATATAAAATGGTAGAAAGTCTTATGAGTTATTTTACCAAGTAAGGATAACCCTATGCCTAACTATGGCAAAATACAAAAATTTATAGGCCAATCTCATTTATAAATACAAATGTGAAATCCTAAAAAAATACTATCTGCAATGGTATATTAAATATGTAACAAACAAAAATAGATTCCATACAAACTTAGAATTCAACTTAATAAATTTTTCATAGTGGTATGAGTGTACAAAAGCCCAGAATATGAAAAAATTTATAGGTTAAGAGCCCCAGGCTCTTCAATGAATAGATGGCAAGGAATAAAGTTGGCAAACTTACAGAATAGAAAGGGACTTAAGAGACAGAGTAGCCAAGTGCAGTGTGTGGAACTTGTTTGAATCTTGATTGAAACAAATCAATTGTAAAAAGATTTATAAGAAATGGGGAGAATGTGAACTATGATGGCTATTTAATGGTATTAAAAAAGTATTCAATTTTTTAAGTGTGAGGTATAATTTTTTAGTTGCAAAAAAAAAAAAATACTAAAAGGAAGTAGAAGGTGTGATGATGCTATGAAGGGCCTGGATTTGAGTCAAGGGGACAACTAATCACCTCCCAGACTCACTGGCAATTTAAGGATGACCAAGGTCACATCATCTGAATCCTGAAGTGGAGGTGCCTCAGTCCTTCCAGAATGGGGTCAAGGAGGAGCCTGGAGACTGTTCTCACTGGCTTCATGAAAAAATAAGCACTTCTTTGAGATCCTTTTCAAATTTTGCCTCTAAATCCAGTCCTATCTGACCCAAAGCAGAAGCCTGAAAGAGAAAACAGCAAATGCACAGATATGAAGAGAGAAATAAAGAAATATAGGCAAAAATAATATGAAAGTATTCAAAATGGAAAGAATAAAATAAGACTTAAATAAGGCCATCTCTAAAAAACAAATGCAATGGATTACTTCTAGAAGAGATCTTTCCCTGGGCCTCCCCTAAAATCTTCTCCCTTAAAATCCTTAGGAAGGAGGACCCAATGCGCTTTCCCTTCCAGGAGCTTGCGCAACCCGTGCCTTTCCTTTCTGTCCCCCTCCTCTCCCCTACCCCAGGCACCTTACCAATTGCTTCCTCACTCCTTAGCTCCAAGGGCCCCTCCTTTATCTCTAGAACATGTTTCCTAAGCCCATTTCTTTCAGGATTACTTCTTCTACCTCTATGATTTACCAAATAAAGTTTCTCTTACAGTTTGGGCTTTGGCTCTGAATTCTTTCCTAGCCAGAACCCAAGAACCCAGGATGCTGAACCCAGGTTTGGTCTGACCCCACCAGTCAGACACCTGATGCTGTTCCCGCTGCCTACAACCTAAGGACATCGGATTAGGACCATTCAATCACTCCAGCACTCAGGTAGAATGGGTGGGGAGATGCTGCTGCTACACTGAAATGGATGAGACTCTGCCTGGTTGGTAACTTGGACCTGACAGGTGGTCTGCACTGAAGAGCTGATTCTGATCACTGCGAAGCCAAAGATTGGTGTTACATACTGGTAGGTAAAGTAAAGGCATTTCTTGAAAGCCCACTCTTTGAAGGAAAGATGAACCTCCTGTTCTCCAAGGCTAAGACTGTCAGGCATGAAGGCATTCCCAGGTCCACTCTGCTACCTCCAGCTGCATGTATAGACACAATTTGTGGCTTATGAACATGCTGAATTGTGGCATGCAGGAGGGAGGGAGGCTGGGTAAAGGTGAGAATCTTCCTTAGCTACCTCCCCAAAAATGTCTGTACAAGTTAGAGTAAAAACCAGGAGATACTCAAGAAACCAAAGTTAATGATGTCTTGGGGTGGGGGGAGGGGTAGAAGGGGTCAATTGGGAAAAAAAGGGGGGACATATATAATACTTTCAACAATAAAGATTTAAATTGGGACTCCACCAAGATGGCGGGGTGGGGGGAGGGGTAGAAGGGGTCAATTGGGAAAAAAAGGGGGGACATATATAATACTTTCAACAATAAAGATTTAAATTGAAAAATACTCCAACTGATTGTCTCTCCCTACAAAGGAAGGTGGAAGACAATAAGAGCTGAGGACAATTTTGGATGATGTTTAAGTTCACTGGGAAATTTGGGTGTCGTAAGTCCAAGCATGCGCATCCTGGAAGTTTAATTTATTTCATCTTGTTTAATTAACTCATCTATTTCTATATTCCTGGGGCATGAAGAATAATGGAAACATAAATTTCCCTTCTTCTCAGTTTGAACAAGGAGGCTGGGGGAAATGGACTGTCTCAGTGGGAGCAGCCTGCCAATCTGGGAACTGAGGTGGATTTTTTTCAGGCACCATTTACAAGGGTCCTTCCCTGTCCTGCATGTGGCTCTTTTTTGACATTCAGCCCTGTAATCCTTGTCTTCTGAGGACAATTCTTGCAAAATTTTGTCATTCCAGAAATTAGGGGAAAGTAGAATGCTGTAGACCAATTCCAGCATGTCATAATTTCAAGAGTTTCATCAAAATGTTGATGAGACTTGGGGACTCAACAGGGTTGAGTCACACATGTAGTCACCTGTTGGGAATGGCTAAAGGCATTTCCCCAAACCTGAATAGGAAACTGATTGTGGCTGCCAGACAGCTAAAGGGCATCTTAATCTACATGTTATTGCCTCCTACTGGCCAAACACCTGAACAGCCGTAGGCTATTCCCCAAACTGACAATGCCTCTGTACCCTTTGAAACCTTATCCTTTGAAGTGTATTATCTCCACCTTGCCTTAGGACAAATTGTGTTAATAAAAGCAAGGGTCCTAGACAAGGAGGGACTCTTCAGTTCCTTTAGCTGAAGGTCCTCTGACCCCCAATGCCTTTCAAAATTATATCTCGTCTCCAGACTCTTTATTAGTCTCTGGATTTCTGTGTCATCTACGCGCAGCCCCTTTTCCAGATTCCTGAACCCTTCTTGATGCTGGGACATGAACCCCAGCATAAATGGACGCCCAAAGTGGGACAAGAGCACCAACAATAAATGGCGTCCCAAACTGGGGCTTTCTGAACCCTGGAAACACCAACAATAGTAGAAAGGCTGTGAGAAGGAAGCAGGACATGTCCTTTCTACTTCACCTTGTAAAAAGTTTTATGGTTGTGAAAGATCAGGCGTATGTCCCGTACAAACCATTCCACTGTATACACTTTCTCAGTCAGCCTTTCCTTCACCAAGTCCAACCACATGGCTTCCTTAAAGGGCTCGGCATAATCTCGGATCTAGGGACAAAGTCATCAAAGGGATGATGTCAGCACAGCCATCATGACGGGATGGATCCAACTTAAATATAAGGCAAGTCTTTATTTCCAGGGTAATGATAATACCATCTGACACCTAGATGCCAGGCTTTGTTCTGAGAACTGCCATGGTAATAACATGCCACAACAACCCTATGAGATAGGTACTATAATACCTACCATTTTACAGATGAGGAAACTGAGGGAGGGAGAGGTTAAGTAACTTATCTAAGATGTCACAGCAAAAAAGTGGTAGAGCTGGGACTTGAACCCATAATTTGGCTCCTCAGTTTGAGCTCTTAATCTGTAAGCTATCCTTAAGAAAGACATTGCCCTGTAGAGACAGTAAAACTAGGACCCAAGGGAGATGAAGCTAGCACAGTGGGGTGGAGTTGGTCCCACTCCAGCACCTGCAGCTAAAGGTTCTGCTCCCTGCAGACAGTAGCCTCTGCAGGACCCCTATTCCGGGTTTCCAGATTGAGTTTTTCACCAGAGAGATGACTGGAGGATGAGAATCATCCAATGTGACACTTACATTACTTGGGATCTTTGCAAAAAAGGCACTTTGTGGGTGACAGTAGGTCTTCAAGAGGAGGAACTCACATTTCTGTAAAACATCAAGAGGGTTTTAAAGGGAAATGCAGCAGGTAGACAGCGGAGAGAGCCTGTGTCCAGACAAGCATGCATGTGCAGGCAGACACACAGGCCCTCCAACCGTATTTGTCAAAGTGTCCTGAAGTGGGTTCAATTCTGTTCAGACTCCATTTTTGGGCACTGAATTATGGTCCTCTGAAGCCAGACACCCTTAGGTGCCTGTCCCCTGAGCCTGTGACTGTTGACTTCTCACATGTGAGCAGAAAGGAGAGATCTTGGGGTTTGAATCTGACTCACCAGCTGCTCCTCAGGCCCCATCTGCCTTGTCAGGACCTCAGATTCCCTGAGACACTGCTGACTTCCTGAAGACTCCTTCATCCTGCAGAAGGTGCAACTCCATGGGCTCCTGGGAGGTTCGGCATAGGTGAGCAAGGCAAGACCTCAGCAACAGCCACTATTCCTACGGCTGCCACTGTTCCTCCTTGCAGGAGTGGCTGGTGGGCACAGCCAAAGCTTTAAGGGGACACTTCCCAGTCTCCAAGACCCCTAGGTGGGGTGTGACCTGATGACCCTCCTCCCATGGAGGGTAGCAACTGGGGGTCAGTAGATGGAAGGTGGTGTCAGGGTGAGTGGTGGGCTCTCCTCTCCCTGTCTGAGCTGCTGGAGCACAAGGAGCCCTGAGTGTCAGAGGCTGGGCCTTAACCCCTGGGGGCCTTGGGCCCCATTAGCCCATTGAGAATGCAGCAAAATGAGGCAACCAGGCCATGTTTCCTGCCTTTTCTGAATAAGCACAGAACACAGACCACTGGCATTTCCCATCTCCATTCCCCTTGGACAGGAGTCTGTGCTGCAAACCTAGGAGAGGACATCTCCCTGGGGCAGTGGCAGCCTAGCCTCACAGACACGGGCTGTCACTGACACCAGAGGGGACAGAAGATGTGCCCCATCAGGTTGCTCTGAGCACACCTGTGCCCACCATGCTCATGGGGCCTGCTCTTCCCTCTGGAACTGAGGGACAAGAGGCAGAACCCGGAAGAGGGTGTGCATGGGGCTGCTGCGTCTCACTAACCTTTTAGCTTCCATGGGTGGGATGTGACAGTCCTCATGAAAGGCTCGTGGACAGGCGTCACAGCAGAGCAGCTGTCCCTCTCTGCAGCACACCTCACATTCATTCGAGTTTTCCCACTGGAAGAGGAGATAATGCGGGCACGCCTGGCATCAGCAAGATCCGCTGAGCACTAACACTGTGGGGCCCTGGGACACACTGTCCTTGCCTGTCCCAGAAGGGACTGGAAGGTCATGGAAGCCTTTTCTACACAGTATGGTTTGAGGACCAGTGGCCTTAGCGTCGTCAGGGGGCTGGTTAGAAACACAGACCTACTGAATCAAACCTGCATTCTAAAGGATGCCAGGTGGTTGGTATGTGAAATTTGAGAAGACACGGCTGTAGGCAACTCCCTCCTTTTACAAGTCTGGGAAGCAACTTAGTACCTGAGTCAGACTGGCACTCAGGCCTACCTGGGGTCAGAGCTGTTCCCACCTGCTGGGTGCCATCCCAGGCAAGCCTGTGGACCACTCAGAACTGTCCCTAAGGCTATGGCTGACAGACAGAAGGACACAAAGAGCTGCTGTGCAATGGGTCATTGTGTGGGCTTGAGAACTCATGTGGATCTTTCTCATGGCTTTAAAATGGGATCCAATAAATTCTGCAAGTGATTTAGGTGAGGAACCCCATCTTCACTGCTGAGTAAAGCACTGGTTCTGCTACTGGCGCCCCCCACCCCCACCCCCCGACCAGACAGACAGCATGGGCTCCACATGGACAAGAGACCACTTTCTCTGTGCTGAAGGTAGGAGCCAGGAAGTGGCATTCATCCTTTTGTGCCCATCTGTGGCATTGTCCCCCACCCCCCCCCAGACAGATTGTGGTGGGTAAAAAGGTGGGAAACAGCTCACCAGGAGCTGGAGGAAAGGATCCAAGGTACTGGAACAGGCCACTACCCTCAACTATCCACAACACAAGCATGAGGACCTGGGTAAAGGCTTAGCGAGGGAAATGTTTTTCTATTCTCAACACTGGCCACTCAGCCAGAGTGAAAATTCCCTTTGATTTGGGGATGGTGTTCATCTCTCTTATAACTGAGAGGAGGCTTCTCAGCAGCTTCCTCCATTGACTGGGCCCCAGGACTTCATTATGAGGGATCCCTCCACCCTGAAGTCCGGTGGAAGTCTTTCTGGCCTTCCCATCTTGAATTCTCCAGTCTGCTTTTCTTTGTCCTTGGGGTTGATACTCCATGGCCATTCTTGCCCTCTGACTGGATGCCTGGCCTGCTCTGGACCAGGCTGCAGATTTCAAGGTAGCCTAGACCTACCCACTCTTCCTAGTTAAGACTCTAATTGGATCCAGAGTCCTGAGCCACCAGTACCCCCCCACCCCCATATACTCTGGATCCCTCCACCCTGAAGTCCGGTGGAAGTCTTTCTGGCCTTCCCATCTTGAATTCTCCAGTCTGCTTTTCTTTGTCCTTGGGGTTGATACTCCATGGCCATTCTTGCCCTCTGACTGGATGCCTGGCCTGCTCTGGACCAGGCTGCAGATTTCAAGGTAGCCTAGACCTACCCACTCTTCCTAGTTAAGACTCTAATTGGATCCAGAGTCCTGAGCCACCAGTACCCCCCCCACCCCCATATACTCTGGAGTGAAATTGTTTCAAGCACACATGATATGATATAAAAATAACAGAGAAAGGACATACAATTCCTCAACCCCCTGATCTCTAAAAAGAGTCTGACTCTGGTTTTGTGATGACCACTGACAGTTTCAAGCCCCACCCTCCCTCTTACCCTCTTGCCACATCTGCACAAGTTGATAAGAAAGCTATTGGTTTATAAAGATAATATATATTTTTAAAGCTATGGGTTCCTTCTCTCAGCCCTAGTAGAAAGTCCAAACCATATAGGCCCTGCCCCAGCAAGAGAATTCTCACCCTATTGCTAACTGTCCTCCTCAGCCCCACACTACATTCCCTTATAGTAGCAACCATTGCCTGTACACTAGGCCCTTGGAGATGGAGGCTCTCACAAGCTCTGAGCCAGGACTCTGCATCAACCACCCATTGTGGGAAGCCACAAAACACGTTTGCAATATCGGCATCAGGTGTCTTGATGGTACACACGTACAGAGTTCCACACCAGTGAGACTCGGTCTACTGCAGAGCAACAGTGATGTCTAGAGTGATGGGGCCGGGGAAAGGCCTGTGTTAGTCTATTTGAAGTCAGAACTAGACTTCATTCTCATTATCCCAATGTGGCTCCTTCTAGGTGGGATGGAAGGTCGGATCAAGTGAACTCCTGGCTATCATGCGCTGACATGTGGCACTACGTACGAGTAAGAAGAAACTATAATGTTGGGGCCATGAATTAATGATCTGGATTTTAAATATCTTTATTGTTGTTGTTTTTCTGGTTACAAAAATTTCCACATGTACATAAATGTGTAATATGGAAAGCAAATTTCCCCTATAATCCTGTCCCATAATAGCTAGTTCTTTTAGATTTTTTAAAGGAATAGACTTACATGTTTACATAAACAAAACATAGCATTACAAGTTTGAGTTTCCAAAAGCTTTCCTGACCTCAAAACCTGTGTATGGTTTTCCATTGACTGAAGGATGAATCTTCACCTATGCATTTAAAAAATACCATTCTGTAGATGTCTTAGGTTATTTTATAATACTGATGGACATTTGTAGTCTTCCCTAATTTTTTTTTGCTATTACAATGAGCATGCTGTACATATCAAGGTGTTTCAAATCAGTATGGAAAAGACAGCTTATACAAGAAATGGCATTGGGGGGACCATTGTTTCACACACTTTGAATGGAGCCAGCCAGGGGTCAAGCTAGCCTACAGGGCAAGATGGGAGTGACACCATTGCCTCTGCTGGAGGCTCAGATCTAATAAGAAGCCCATGAATGGGACTTGTGTCTGGAGGAAGGCATCTAAGCAAGTAAAGAAGGCTAAGGAAAAGCAACTGGTATAGCCAATAGACTGCCATTTTCACCTGGAGAGAGGCTCTGCAGACACAAAGCTTAGTTCAAACACATTCTTCCATTCTGATGCACTTGATAAAAAGTATGTTGAGTTAGGATGACTTAGTGTTCAATCAAGGATGATCATCTTTCCTTTTCTGTTCTTATCTATTTCAACACCATATTTACTTTTCAAACTAGAGCACTCAATTTCTAACACCCTGTGTTTGCCATCATCCAAATATCCAGATCTTTGTTTACAACATATACATCATCAGCTCTTGTCCTGATCTTTATTCTAAAGAGTTATTTGCCCCCCTCTCTCAAATCAGCTATGAAAATAATGGTGGCATGTACAGGTATCAGAACACTAAAACAGTCAACATGAAGACGCAGTGTCTAAATGTGAAGGTCACTCAGAGCTGGGAAACTCCAGGATTCAAGGATGAGCCTTTGAACATGAAAAGTTGGCAACTTGGTGATTAAAAATGTGGTAGAAATTCACTTTCTATTTACCTCTCTCTTGAGACTTATTCTTGAAGGACAGAACGAAAGTCTTTTCTGAAAGAGAGAAGAGGTCAATGAATTAGGTTATTCTGGATACTTTTCTTTTGTAATTATCAAAGTTTTCACTTTCCAGTGAATGTTTGTACCTGGACATCCTACTGGGTCTCAAATCCTAGGTGTCTAAAAGAAAAATGAGCTCCTTTCTCCAATCAGTTCTTCTTCTGGACTTGATAAAATCATTTTTCCCTATTACTCAAATCTAAGACCTGTCAGTCTTTTTTTTCTCAGTCCCTTCCCCACCCACTTCTTTTCATTTGCATTTCTTCCTCTTTAGATAAAATCCTCTGGTTTCATCCCCGTGATAATTTCTGAGTGTAATTGAGAGGCTTTGTGTTGGGATCACTAGGACCCTAGTGTGTTGCTCACAGGATGGAATAGTGTGCTGGGAAGTACAGAGGAGAGACTGACCATGGACAGAATGGCCTGGAAACATTTCAATGAGGGGTCCAGATGGAACAGTGTCTTGAGGAGTGTTTAGCGGGTGGAGGACACTGGGAAGCTATGGCTGAGGTCTGTTTTCATCCAGTTTCCTTCTAGCCAACCCTACCTAATACCACCAGGGAAAGCTACTTAAATCTCTCCTGACTTCAAAACCCTTTGCTTGCACTTAAAGTTCTTCACTATCAGCACCAATCTGCATTTTTAGCTTTATCACACACATCTTTTTTTCTACTAAGGTTTATCTCTTTCTCAATCATGTTGTGGAATCCTAATGGGAATTTCTTCACACTTCTGTTATTGACATTTCCCCTCATCCTTCAAGGAATTAAACCCATCACCTATCTGCCCCTTGTACTTATAATACCTCCATCAGCTGTTGTAGGGTCTGTCCTTTGCAACGCACATTCCGCTTCCAGTCCTTTGATTTTGTTCCTCTTCCTTTAATTTCAAATTCTCTTGGTGTGAACCAAGCTCCCTCCTCATTCTGAATGCACTTCTCTGAGGATCCTATAAAACAAAGACAGCCCATCCCACCATCTACTTCCATCCTCTGAATTCACCCTAAACTCCAACCCCCAGATTGTGGTGTTCTCTACCTTTCTGGGTTCAGGGAGACTCCCTGGGAGGCAGAACCAGTAGCAGACTGAAGGAAGCCCTAAAACCTGCCTGAGTGGTGAGGGGTTGGGAGAGAATTGGCATTTTATGTGACACCTTCATGTGGCAAGGACATGGTGACCAGTGTCCTAGGGTCCATGGATGGATGACTCCTTTGGGGGAGTGGCCGCCAGGTGTACCACAGCAAGGAAAAGTTTGAAAATTCCTTTTTAACAAACACCTTTTTCCCTTTTTTCTGCAGCCTGTTTTGCAGGGCTCATTTCATGAACAATCACACACCTGGGTACGTTCCTTCCTTCTTGTGATTCCTTGGTTAGGGCAGGGGCCAGGAACCTTTTTTCTGCCAAGGACCATTTGGATATTTATGACATCATTCAAGGGCCATACAAAATTATCAACTTAAAAGTTAGCCTGCTAGCCCTAACTGGTTTGGCTCAGTGGATAGAGCATTGGCCTGCGGACTCAAGGGTCCCAGGTTTGATTCCGGTCAAGGGCATGTACCTGGGTTGTGGGCACATCCCCAGTAGTGAGTGTGCAGGAGGCAGTTGATCGATGTTTCTCTCTCATCGATGTTTCTAACTCTCTATCCCTCTCCCTTCCTCTCTGTGAAAAATCAATAAAATATATTTTTTTAAAAAGTTAGCCTGCTATTTTTGGTCAATCACTTAATTAATTCAGCCCTAATGCTTTGGTAGGGCCAGACCAAATGATTTTTCAGGCCTTATATGGCCTGCGGTCTGGACAACCCCCACTCCTGGTCTAGGGGTTCCAAAGAGCAGAAGATCAAGGAACTCACCTTTTTCCATTTTCTCCTTATGTAAAATCCTCGTCTCTCCACCACAGGTCACAGGAAGTGTAGGAGACTGAAAATCCACAATATCATCTTTGGGTTTTCCTGAAAGTGGACGAAGAGCACAGTTCGTTACTCAATCCTTATTCTTTCTCTCTCTCATGAATCCTCCTTTCCATGAGCATAAGCAGCACACCTTCCTTTACCTGGTGCAGGCAGGTCACTGAGTCATGGGGACCTTGTGTACCCAGTACTTCGGAAACGACAAACCTGTCGCTAAGTGAGGGAAACAACTTTCTGAAGTGTTCCCCCAAATCTTGTGTCTGGCTCAGCCTTCCTCACTTATTTCAGCAAACAAGGCCTTTAAGGGTGGAACCCTGCCTGGAGCGCTCCAATGTGGGTTAGGTCACCATTAGAAACTGTGAGCCAACAGGAGGAGCCTGCTATGAAAGTGAGCAATTAAAAAACAAAAAGAGTCCATGTAAACAGAAAGCACTGTGGAGGAAATGAAAAGAAAAGCCTCACAGAGAGAAGGAAGAGCAGAATGGGGGGGGGGGGGGGGGGGAGGGAAGAAAAACCAAAACAATTAACAATGGGAAGACTAACTCCAGGAATTCTTACAGAACATAGGGAAAGGGCACTAGGTGAAAATTATATGAAAAGACACTACCTGGGGAAAGATCTGGGAGCTTTATGATCAGCACACACATTGTACTGTTTATTTTCACAACAATCTGTGAAACAGGGAAGGCAACGATGACCCCATTTTATAGGTGGGGATGCAGACTTAGATCCAGAGAGAATTCCTAGTGGTCACCACATTTCACGAGGGGCAACTGGCTTTGGGATCCAGACATACCATCTGGTCTAATGTTCTTCCCATGCCATCCAAAGGGCCTCAACAAGACTCTCTAATATATAATTGATAACAATACAGGGGCACTGTTAACTCAGAAGGCAGAGCCAGGGTGGAAAGGTTAAGGAGGCAGGAGAAGCTGATGCTGGTGGGTAACTGTCAGTGTTTGCCTGGATTCTTGCCTACACTAGTGTTTTCTAAAAAGACCAGGGATTTTTTTTTTTTTTTGGGTAAAAAATGAAGAACTTGAAATTTGAACACCTAGGTTTTTAGCTCACGCAAGTTTTTTTCTGTTCTAATGAACTATAAAATGAGTTGAATCATACTTACTTGAGGGTTAAATGATAAAATGTAGAGCAAAGTGATTTGACAATTGTAAAGTGATGCACACACTTATATTGTTGTCAGGGCCTCTGTATAAGGTTGTGTGGGCTGTGCACTGAGCAAGGATTCCACCTTGGAGCGGGGATCTGATTTGCATCCAAGGCAGAATCCATCTGTACACTTCCTACAGCAAGCTTCCAGCAGAGGGCAGAAGAGGCCGTGGCTTCAGGAATCAGTTCTGAGAGGCGTGGGGAACGTGATTGAGGATGGAGCACCCTTTTCTAGTTCACAGGGGCATCATATGGGTAAATGGAGGCCCTGATATTATTGGTATTCATCCTTGATGAGGAAGAATGATTAAGGTTTTGATGACTTGACAGTTACTTAAGCATAAAATGTGTGAGGCCCAGGGGAAAGAGCAAGACTGACCCACTTACTGACTTCATTTGACTTTCGCACAGTGAACAGAACCTACACAGACGGTTAATTACAGTTGTGATAAGTACCAGAGAGAAAAAAATAGCCCTACTCCTGCCTGCAGGGTGGAGAATGCTCTAGTCAAGGTGAGGCCTGAGGATGTATAGCAAAGGGAGGGATGGGGATGAGGGAGTGTGTGTGTATGTGTGTGTTGGGGGTGGGGGGGGGGGGCGGGCACACTGAGCAGGCCCTGAACAGCAGGGACAAAGGAACCTATGTGTTGAGAAATCAGGCTGGTGGCCACCCAAGGGGTGTGGGTAGGGATTGGATTATATTCTGTTTCTTGACTTGGTGCTGGGTACACATGGGCTCTTGCTTTGTGTTAATTCCTCAAGCTGTTCAGGTAGGTGCATGCATTTGTCCTTAAACACATCACACCAGTGCTACTCAGCATGTGGCCTGTGATGAGACAGGGGCTTGACCAGGATAGAAATCAGTGCACTGCTGCCTCCACTGGGTAGGTCTGGCCACAGAAACAGTGTGTTCAGTGTCACAGTTGGTTCACAAGCTCTGCAGACCTGCAACAAACAGGCTTGTAGGTGGCACCAGTCTGTAGACCCCACTTTGAATAGCACCTGCTATACTTTAATAATAAGTTAATGGGACTAAAAAGACCAATGTTGTTTGTCCCAGAGAGGAAGGAGAGAGAGACAAGAAAGAATGCTGAAGAAGTAAGTTATAAAAGCAGAAGAAAAGTGAGTATAGGAAGAGGAGGAGAAGAGAAAGGAGGAGGAGGAGGGGAGGACAGGCCACCCAGGAGGCACAAGAGTTCAGAGGGACAGAAGCAAACCAGAGCCTGACCCACAGAGACCAGACCTGCACTCCTGACTAACTCAGGAAGAGAAAATTGGTCCCACCAGAAATGAGAACTCGCTCGGCTTTGCTTCGATTAGGGTTTTCACCAATTCCTAGAACGAAGAAAGTAGACGTTTATATTAAACTGGACTTATGTGTTCGGTCATTTTTCCTTATCGTTTTTGGGTTTCTATAGGTACTGTGTTGAAGAGTGGTTGCCAGGGCACAACGTGGACAGATTGGGTGGGCAGCGGGGCAGCACTCCTTACGTCATTCACTGGGAGTGTGTCACCTGTGGCACCTAGTTGGAGTGGAGAAGAGACCTAGGAGGAGGAGGAGGATGAGGACAGTGGGAGGGAATGCGGAGGAGGAGAGGGAGAATGGAGCTTTCAGCAGCAGGCCTGGGCCCTGGGGCACCTGAGGGCAAGTCTCTGCCTCGCTTACTTACCCTTTGGGGGAATATTTTTCTGACAACTTATTGTTGAACTTGAACAGACATCCTTTTTTCTTTTCTTTTCTAAAAAAAAAATAGTCAATTATAATTGGAAACATACATTTACATGCTTTATATGTCAACTACATTGAAGTAATATTTCTTATCTTTATTCCAGTTCGGAGAAAGACAGATATGAATTCTTATGAAAGGAAAATCATAGAACTGACCAAGTAAAAATAGGAAGCTCATGTTAATAGGTAGGAAGGCTAAAATATTATAGAAGTCAACGTGTCAAATTATTATATATAGTAATATGTATAATAATGTGTATATATACATTTAATACAAATACTAGGAGTTAATAAAGGATTAGCCTTTTACATATTATATAGGAAGGGCTTTTTAAGGCAGAAGTACAGGGCATAAAGCAGTGATTCTCAATGCTGGGTGATTTTGCCATCCAGGGGCTATATGGCATGTTGGGACTTTTTTAAAAAATTTTTTTTTGTCGTGACTGGGAGGCAAGTGCTATTGGCCTCTGATTGGTAGAGGCCAAGAACACCAACTTTGTAAAACTCTGGCATAAACCATACTGGAAAAGATAAACTGATTTGTCTAACTCAAATTTAAAGAAGGTTTCTATAACCAAAAATTTCTTAAGTTAGAAGACAAAAACAAAATAAGAAAAATTGCAATAACAAAGTGTTAATTTGATTAAACAACAACAACAAAAAGAATATTCTTAAACAAAAAAGGCATATATGAACAGGTGATCCTTAAAAGAAAAAATTCTAATAAAAATTTTATTAAAATATAGGTTCTGGTCATTTAAGATCATCCCAAACTTCAGTGGTTTATTTATAGGTGTTATCAAACTACAGCCTGAGGGCCAAATTGGCTCAATGCTTGTTTCTGTAAATAAAGTTTTATTGGAACACAGCCATTTGTTTATATATATTTATTTCCGGTGGCTTTGTGCTACAATGACAGTGTTGAGTAGCTGCAAAGAGACTGTAAGACCAGCAAAGCCTAAACTATTTATTATTAGTCCCTTTTTAGAATAAGTTTGGTAAACACTGGTTTAGAAAAACACAGGTTTACTTCTCCCTCATGCTGTTTATTGGTCACAAGTTAGATGAGGTCCCGCGCCATTGACACTCATGGAGCCTGGGACAGAGATGCCTCTGTCTAGAACAGCGGTTCTCAACCTGTGGGTCGCGACCCCTTTGGTGGTCGAACGACCCTTTCACAGGGGTCGCCTAAGACCATCCTGCATATCAGATATTTACATTACGATTCATAACAGTAGTAACATTACAATTATGAAGTAGCAACGAAAATAATTTTATGGTTGGGTCACAACATGAGGAACTGTATTTAAAGGGCCAGAAGGTTGAGAACCACTGGTCTAGAACATCGCTGGCCCCATGGCAGAGAATGACAACACAAGGCTCCTAAAGCTTTGGTTTGGAAGTGACCCTCTCACTTATGCCCACACTTCTTTGTCATGTCAAGTCACATGGCCATCCCTGAGTACACAGAGCAGGGATATATAATCTTCTGAAATATTGATGAGCAGTAATACAACCTGTCACAGCATGTTTAACCACATGCACGGTGCAAAGAAATTCAAAGAGAAACATTGGTGGAATATCATTCCATGCTTTTCATTTGTCAAACACAGAAAAGTCTTATTATTTCTAGTAGTGATGAAGGTGTAGGGAAGAGGGTGTCCATATCTTGTTAATGGGAGCCTAAAGTGGCAATTATTTGGTCATCACTATATGCTCATTTTAAATATGCAGACTCATTGACCAATTGACTTCACTTTTACAAATCCACTAGTAAGAAATACTACTGAGAATGTGTCCACTTTAGGGATTGGTGAAACTCTCCTCGCTGGTTCACCCTAAATCAGAGAGGAGCCCCAGACTCAGTGGAGCAGTGGTGACTCTACCAATAGAAATGTTAACAGTAGACACTGGAAAGTGGTCATGTGAGTCCAGAGAGCACAGCTGAGGTCAACTGCACCCAGGGGATACACTTACTTCTTCCAATAACCACTCAAACCAACAGATCTTTGCTCTGTCTTTATGCCCTTCTTGTCTACACTGCTTTCTTCTTCTCATATTAACTTTTCATGTCCACCTAACCTTGTGCCTGCTGCATGAGAAACCCTCCCACCCTGAGCCTTCAAATGATAGATTCTGTCACCAGCCTTACCCTCAGGTCCAGATGTTTGGGCACTTTCAGTCCTTGCCTTTTGGGCCCTTGTCATCACCCGTGAGTTTCCGGTTGAGTTATTCTTCTTTTGAGTCGCCTGATCCACCATTTGAGGCACAGGTGAGGTGGTTCCTGGGCCAAATAGTGATTTGTGAGTAGTTTCCATTGGGGTCCCTAATGAAGCTCCTCTTTCCCCTGTTAGTGACCTTTCTTCTGATGCTCCCTGTCTCCACGCTGTCAGGAAATCCTGCATCCCTATACCTTACTTTATCTTACTGTTTTTCTATTTTACTTGGAAATTTAAAAAGTTGCATAATGAAGTAATAAAGATATACTAAATTATTAACGTTTAAGTTAGGCCTTTTATTTTCAAATTTATAACCTGGTTTTTCAAGACTTGAAGAATATATATAGAGAGATTATTATAAGCTTTAGCTATAAAATATTTCTTAGCCAAAACTCAAGGCCAGAAATCATAAAGGTAAAAGACAGATTTGACCATTAAAAAATTTAAAAATGTCCACACTTCAGAAAACATCCCCACAATATTCAAAAAAATTGCAATATAGTAAAATATAGAGGGTTAATATCCTTAATGACCAAAATCATCAACAAACAGAAGAATGTTCAGCTTTTTCCCCTCCAAGGACAGTGATTACAATGAGCATAACAGTAGCCATGGTGAGAATGAATTAACATGCACTCGTTCACCAGCACATGCCAACATCATCAGTTGCTTGTGCCCAGTTATACTATTATGTTTGTATTTATGATGCGATGTTTTCTTCCCAATTTTCCCAGAAAAGTCATGTGAGAAGCATGGAGATTGGGACTTAAGAAAAAACTTGACCTAAGGCTTGGGCACTTCCAATAAAGTACCAAGAATATGCTTAGTGCATGAATTCTCAGTAGTGGTGATGCTGCCCAAAAATTGATTCCTGGGGGGAAAATCTTACTCTTTTTTATGTATAAGGCATAAATAAATATATGCAGTCCCTAAATCAATATAGAATATCTTTGTGAAATTAAAATGTCATGGGGTGTGTGTTCTTGATTAGGTAAAAAAACACATGCAAGTGGGCTCCCTAGGGCAGTGATAATGAAAAGAGGGCTGAGAAATGCTTGCTTAGAATAAAACAGTTCTGAATCTGGGCTCCAGAGACCACACTTTGAGACTTACAGTCCCTCATCTGTACCTTGTGTGATTCTTGGTGGCGTGCTGGGTGGGTCCTGGGGACTCTTTGTTTCATTCATATCTGAAGTGTCATCACTGACCTCTCAAAAAAAATGGCATTCTGTTCAGATCTCAGTAAACACGCCCTAGAAGGTCTCATGGGGAATCTCACAGAGATCCAGGGAGGAAACTTGCACACCCTGCAGCTGAAGGCTGGAGGTTGCATGTCTTCTAGAGCCTCCACGGTGCCCTCCTCTGTGTCCATCACTGGGTGTCTCCCACTCAGGGCAGCAGGACATCCAATGAGAGAGCAGTCATCTGAACCCATGGACCAGAGGCTCAAAGTGAGGTCATAAACCCCTGAGGGGTCCTAAAAACCCTTTTAGGAGATTTTTGAGGTGAAAATTATTTTCATAATAAGGTGTCTTTTGTCTTTGTCACTATGTAGATCTCTCTACACACGGATCAAGAACTGCCGGTGCCTTAGGACAAATCAAAGCAGTGTCTCCAAACCATAGGAGTGGTTACTGTGGGAGTGGTCATTGCACTCCTCACTGTCACTCACCAGGAAAAAAAAAAAAAAAGCCAGTTTGAAGAATGTTCTTGATGAGGCAGTAAAAACTATTAATTTTATTAAATTTCTATCCTTGAGTACACATCCTTTTAATAGTCTTTGTGCCCTAAGTCCCAGCTGGGGTCAGCTATACCCTGTAATCACAGCTGTTTCTTTAACAAAAACTCCTCAGATGTAACCGGTATTTGTGCCCTCTCTGGTGCTCCTGTCACACCTCATCGTCTTTCCCTGCATTGCTCCCTCCTTCTCATATTAACTTCTCATGTCCACCTAACTCTGTGCCTGCTGCACAAGAGACCCACACTGAGCTTCCAAATGACAGATTCTGTCACCAGTCTTACCCTCAGGTCCAGACGTCTGGGCACATTTAGTCCTTGTCTTTTGGGTCCTTTTCACCACCTTTGAGTTCCTGGTTGAGTCATCCTTCCTTTGAGTCACCTGATCCACCATTTGGAGCTTCTCTTGGATTCTTTGACCAGGTGAGGCTGTTCCTGCGCCAAATAGGGATTTGTGAGTAGTTTCCATTGGGATCCCCTCTGAGTGACCTTCCTTCTTATGTCTCTAGCTCCGAAATGTTGAGATCTCTGTACCTGTGTGCCTCACTTTTCTCCTGCTATTTCTCTGTAATTATATATTTTTTCTTGTGTGTGCCTTACTTCCCTTCCCCCATCCCCAAATTCACCACCTGATCTCACTCTTTGTAGAACCTATTGAAATCACCCAGAGAAATGTGGGAGAATCCCAGAGCAGTGGGGCTTATTTCCTGGCTCCTGTGTCTGAGTTACAGCTGCCACAAGGAGGTGGCCACATTTGAGTAAAAATGGCCTGGTGGTTCGTTTCAGCAGAGGAGGGGCCTTCTAAAGTTGTTTCCCCAGGGCCCCTGTGTGGCATGGGAGAGATGGGGGTGGGGGGAGGGGTGTCTGTGCAGGGCGAGTCTGCCTCTTTGTTGAAAGAGATCATAATTTTCATTGACTGTGGACTTTAGAACCTGATCCCCAGTAGAGCAAGGATATCTCTTTGAAAGCCAGGGGGACAGTATATGCCCTCTCCTGGAAGATGGACAGATGAACTTTTTTTTTTTTTTAACATTCAAGTGCCACTTATGGAAGAAGCAGGAGTGGCTAAAAGTTGGAGAAGAGGTACCCAGGGAATTCAGTCATGACAGTTACTGAGTATTTATCCAAAAAGACACTGGGGCCACCTCAAAGAGCCTAACAGTTTCCTTTAACATGTTTTTGCCACATGTTTTTCCCCTGTCACAAACGGAGAGTTTCAGAGAAGTGAGAACTGTTACCAAAAAGAAAGACTACCACCTTTTTTGCATGCCAGAGTATAGCATGTATATTTTTAGTAGGACTATCTGTGTTATTTTCTCTCTCAAAATTTGGTGTCTTTTTTCAGGTGTTATTAGTATTTTTAATAAATATGATTAACTGCAAAGTAAATAAAATAGGAACAAAGCCAAATCTGGAAGGGCCTGGCATCTTCTTAGCAGAGGGAAGTCTCAGTAGGGAAGTTACCCAAACAGAACAGCTTAACAGAAGCCCTAGAAGCTCCCCATTTCTAACAAGGCCACTCTGACTGGAGAGTGTGTGCTGTTGCATAGTCACACAGATGTTCCTGCCTCAGTCCCACAAACCTTTAGAGCACTATGAGAGTGGATGCCTCAGTATTGGGATGCTGGCCAGAGGGCATGCAAACCATCCATGCCTGCTCTAAACTAGGGATAACAAGAAAGGATTATGTGGGTTCTATTTCTGTGCTGTGAGATTTCCCTCCAATAACTCTTAGTTTATACCAAGATCACATACTGATAGTGGTACCTGTGACTGTGCATAGCATAATAATAAATCACAAACCATCTTTTGTCAGATCATCCTTCAAATGATGGGATATAGGAAATATGGTTTCTTTCATTTTTTTTTTTCATTTAGGTAATACTTAATGTCACATTTGTGCCTGGAGATTACCATCTAGCTTAGAAGAGACACATTACTTAAGTAGTAATTACAGTGGAGTATGTGGAATCTTCCCAAAGGTCCAGTGCTGACTTCTATAGGAACATGCAATGGGACCACCTTATCTAATTTAACATCAGAGAACACCTTGAAGTAGACATTGAAGCCAACACCAGTGATGAACAGGAGATAGCCAAACATTTACAGGAAGTAGTGTAGGGTCAGAATGTAGCATTCAAAGAGAGGAGCATGTACCAAGGATCAAAGAGGAGAGAAATGAAATGGGAGGAATCAGAGTGTTGGCTGGAGTTTTGAGTGGGAAAAGATGGAGTTGAAGAGGAAGAGAAGGGTTGGATTGGAGAGAGCATTGTCAATCACACTAGGAACTATGAGCATTATTCTAAAAGCAATAGGAGGTCATGGATAAGTTGTAAGCATGGGAATGAAACCATCAGATGTTAGTGTAGCAAAGAGGAGACAGAATCAATAGAACTTGTCAATATACTAAGGTAGATAATCAGGTAGTCAAGGATGGCTTACTTTTTGGCTTGGCAACTGGGTAACTAATTTCAAGTTAAATAAACTCCAAATTCCTCTCAATGGCCTGTGAGGGTCACATGATCTGGCCCCTCTCTACCCTCACCTTGTACCACCTTCTCCTTTCTTCATCATAACCCAGGTCAAAAGAGATGAGACCAGAACTTGTAGACACCTCTAGGTAAAAGACAAGGACACCTAGGGTTTCTATGGCTCTTGGAAAGACACATTTAAATTCCAAAAAATTAGGATATGGACCCAGGATGCTGTCTTAGTCCTGTATATAAACAGCAAACCCATCATTCTCCATTCCTTGTCTATGGAATGTAATCTGCCACTCACATAGAAAGATTCCATCAGCTCTTTTCTTGCTGCCTGTGGGTATGCACATGGGGGATATACACTGCAATGTTAGTCTGTCTGTTGAGCTGCTGATTATCAATAAAAAATTCTTTTCCCTGACCCAGGTGACTTGTGTTTCTGCAGTAGTCATATATCTAAAGAATATGACTATGCAAGTGGGGTAACATCTCATTCTGTCACAGTTCTTGGCAAAGCACATATTGGGCACAACTGCATAGATGGTTAGCACAGATCTTGAAATGGACCGGTAAAAAACTGAATTATAAAATCTCCTCCCAAATATATTGTATCCTTTCTCAGCAATGGCACCACCATTCACCCAGACATTCAAGCCAGAAATTGAAGAGCAAGCCTTGAGATCACTGTCTTTTTCATCCTCAGTTTCCAGTTTATCAAGTCCTGTCAACTCAACCTCCAAACTGACTTTGAATTGGTCCTCCTCTCTCAGTCTTCACTGCTTGATCTGAATCCAGGTTACTATCAACTCTCATGACATCTGCTCTCCAAATGGTTTCTCTATTTCCATTCTTTTCTATTTCCAATTCATTCTTTACACAGCACCCAAATCAGTCTTGTCAAGTTTAAAATTGCTTAGGGTCATTCACTGATTAGATCTGTCAATGGCTTCACATTACATTTAGAATACAATTCACCTTCCCACACCTTGACCTATAAGCATGAGCTGCCTCCAGCCTCCAGCCTCCTCTTCTACTGTCATCTTACCTTTTGAAAGTCTTTTTTTCTGTTGTCTCTTTTTAGGAACTGACCACATACTTCTTTTTCTTTTCTTTCCTAAAAAGACAGAATACATATAATCTTTTATAGCTACACACATAGATCTCCCATTGTCTATGTCAACAATTCTCAGCTTTTATGTTTGGTCTTCAAATGACAATAGCTAGGTGGTCATTGGTGACCTTAGGTGATGCTGCTTCATGGAGTAATGGCAGAGAAGAAATTCTAAAGTGGCAGAGGCAGGAGAGACATGAAGAAAAGGAGACAATGAGTCCAGGTAATGCATTTCTAGAAGCTTTTTTGTGAACTGGAGGGAAGGGTATGGAGGCAAGTGAAGTGAGATGGGGATCAAGAGAAATTTCCTTTATGAGCTGGGATAGGCATGGGCATTGGTTAGGATGCAGATCCTTGTGAGAGGTTGATGATGAATTCCACTGTCAGGCGAGGTTGAAGGATTGCCTTGGAGAGAAGGAGGGAACCAGAGAGGAGGAAATTCCCACCTGATAGGTTTCTATGAATTAGGAGGAAAATTAATCTCTTGAGAAAAAAAAGGAGGCATCAATAAGGGCAGAAGTTTGAAAAAAAGAGCTCAGAGTTTGAAAGGATCATACAGGAAGTGGGATTGTCTCAAGGTGTGGAGGGATCATTTAGCTGAAATGGTGAAGACACAGTGGGTGTAGTCTGCTCTGCTGTGTGCCTCTTCCCAGCAGTGCCTGTTTTTAGATGCAGTGTGCAGAAAGCAGTAATAGGCTCCTTCAAGACCTTCTGGAGAGTTCTAGGAAAAGACAAAGAGTCAAGGCAGGTTAAGTGTCTCCCATAGGTTACTGAAATGGTGGCTCTTGGATTCCAAGCTGGTATGAAGGGGTGTGAGGAAAGGCAGATGATGGACTGAACAAGGGAAAGGCCAGTGGACTGGTCATCCCAATGAGGTTGAAGGACAGCTACAGAGGGAACACATTGTAAGAAGAAATCAGGGAAGGATATTTTAAAATTAATTTTTTAAGATTGTGCTGAGAAGGGGAAATCAGAGGTTGAATGATTATTGTAGAAGGAGCAAACTCAAGGATTTGGTGCCAAAAAAGGAACTATTTAATTATTGGGAAGTTGAGCCAGGTTTGAGTGGTGAAAGGGCCTGTGGATAGTCTTAGGGTGCAGGAGGCAAAGAATTGGTGGAGGAAAAATAATTGAAAATTATCAGATGAAGGATTGGAGAAACCAGAGTATTGAATGGGCCTGTTATTCATATACTAGAGGCCCAGTGCACGAAATTCGTGCACTGGGGGGTGGGGAGGTGTCCCTCAGCCCAGCCAGCACACTCTCCAATCTGGGACCCCTCAGGTGATGTCCGACTGCCGGTTTAGGCCCTGTGGGATCGGGCCTAAACCGGCAGTCAGACATCCCTCTCACAATCCAGGACTGCTGGCTCCCAACCACTCGCCTGCCTGCCTGCCTGATTGCCCTAACCGCTTCTGCCTGCCAGCCAGATCACCCACTAACCACCCCCCTGCCAGCCTGATTGATGCCTGACTGCTCCCCTGCCAGCCCGATTGCCCCCAACTGCCCTCCCCTGCCAGCCCGATCACCCCCAACTGCCCTCTCCTGCTGGCCCAGTTGCCCCCACTGCCCTCCCTGCCGGCCTCATCCCCCCAACTGCCCTCCCTTGCTAGCCTGGTCGCCCCTAACTGCCCTTCCCTGCTGGCCATCTTGTGGTGGCCATCTTGTGACCACATGGGGGCGGCCATCTTGTGCAAGGCCATGATGGTCAATTTGCATATTACCTCTATTATATAGGATACATTGAAGGTGTCCAGGATGATGACAAGACTTGAAATAGAAAAACTCTAAGTCAGCTTTGAGTTCTGCTGGGGAGTGGAAGGGAAGTCCAGGGACGATACTGATGAAGTAGTGAATAATCAGGCTACTTAATCACTGAATGGTCAAGCCTCAGCAAAGGGGATGGGGGAGCAACGGGCTGGCTGGAAACAGTGCGGAGCAAGGTGTGACATACAGCCTGCCTTGCACATTGAGGTGAGTGATAGCAGAGAGAATATGCAGCCATGTCTTAAAAGAGAAAGCAGTGTGCTCTTGGGAAACCACCTTTCAGTTAAAGGAGGTGCGGACTAAACCTCTATGAAGTTGTGGATATAGGAGAGCTTGGTGATTGCAGAACAGGCAATTTCAAGGGGTGTATATTATAATGGGTCTAAATGCCTTCCACTTTTCCTATCATTTAATGAAGGCCTCAAAGGAAGAGGCAGTGAAAAGGAATTGGAGAAACAAATAGTACTGAGTGTCATGACTACAATCACAGAGAGAGTGCTCATGACAAGATCCAATCAGAAAAACAGGATGCAGCTTCGCGTTCCCCCTCCTGATGCCTATAAGAGGAGGGCAATCCTTACCTTTCTTGACGAGAGGTGTGCTGGCTGCCTCCTGGGGCTCTGCTGGCTCATTTGATTCAGGTGGATCATTTCTTATCACTGATAAGGGAAACACAATTCATTTCAGAGGTCAGATGGGCTAAAGAGAAAGTGCTGAAGGAGCTCAATGTGAGAACAAGGGGATGGAGGACATGTGAGGCCCAGGGCTGGGAACCTGCTAGTCTATAGGGTTTCCTGGCTCTGCCCGGAGTCAATCCAACTTGTGGTTATTGTGACTTGCGTGACTATCACAGAACCAGAGAGCAATTGCTCGCAAAGGAGGGCTCAGTTTGGCCCATTGGTTGGATTCCCCTTACTCAACGGAAGATGAGTACAGGGACTCTCAGTAGCCCTCACTCAGGAAATGAGGCTGACAGCAGTGGAAGCGGTGACCTTGAATTCTGTCAGCCACAGTGAAGGTGAATATCTGCCATATAAAAAATATATGTTATTGCTTAGACTTCTATGAATGGATATTTTTAACCTGCTCTACCTGATTATTTCACCTTAAGAAATAGTGAAGGAGGCTAAGTGCCTTATATATGTCAGCTGAAGAAAGCAGGAGCCAGGAGGTACTTGCTAGCGCTTATTAACAGCAAATAAATACAACTGCTCTTAGTTTCTGCTGCACTAAGAAAGTTAGAAGGGCTCAAAGCCATCACAGACAGAGGCCCATCTCAAGAAAGCTGTCACCTTTTTGTTTTCACAAGGCTATGACATCCATCTCAAATTCTGGCCTATTTAGGAACAGGTAACTGGGGCAGGTGGCAAGCAGTCGCTAGACCCTTTAAACAATTTGTCGCATTTAAAGCTATTTAAATAATATTAATTTTTAAAAATCCAGAAATGTTGAGGGTTGACAGTGATTGTTTCCCACAGTTAGGGTGGGGACTGGGAAGGAGGGCCATCCATGTCTGGGGCACTGATTCAGTGTTCGGGCCACACAGTGGTTTTGCTTGCTTTGCATTTTGATGGAGCAGTTTTGAGCCTTGCCTTATTTAAGTGGCCTCAGAGGGTGGCTGAGTCAAGCAGTCCTGCCCCGGCTCAGTGCTTCATGCTTTCCCCGGTGTTCCCGCCACAACCCCTCTGAAAGAGGAATGTTCTCCCTTTGCAGACCCCTTAGTGGTGCTTGAGTTTAGGTCCAGTGGGTATTCGGAGGGCTCCCATCCCTTGTCATTGGTGTCCCCTTCCCAGTCCACCTTGCCTTCCCCAGGGACTCTATCTCCATCTAGGACAGTGATGGCGAACCTATGACATGCGTGTCAGAGGTGACACGCAAACTCATTTTTTTGGTTGATTTTTCTTTGTTAAATGGCATTTAAATATATAAAATAAATATCAAAAATATAAGTCTTTGTTTTACTATGGTTGCAAATATCAAAAAAATTCTATATGTGACACGGCACCAGAGTTAAGTTAGGGTTTTTCAAAATGCTGACACGCCGAGCTCAAAAGGTTCGCCATCACTGCTCTAGGAGCTCAGGTCTCCTGTCTGCCCAAGCCTCCAAGGGCTGGGTGAGCAGCCAGGAGCTGCACCGTGATGGTGGTCAGGAGCAGTGAGGAGAGCCCTGTTTCTAGAAGGTTCAAATGATTTCTCCTCTTCGCAGACATAAAGACTAAGGTGGACTTAAGTTGCCTAAATCAGAATTACCTGGCTCGGGGGCTGAGGGTGCCTGGGGCATCTCTTGAGCATCTTCTTTATCTTTTGCTTGAGGGGTCGGGTGGTCACTGGACACTGAGCAGAAGAAGAAGAGGAATTTCAGATGCCAGGACCAGCAAGCAGGGATCAGAGATGGAGGAAAAAGAACAATCTATTCAATCAGGAGAAAACGATGGGGCCCGGACTGAACACCAAAGCCTAGTGAGGGTGAGGCAGAGTGGGAGAGTGAGCCATCATTTGCTTTCAATGGCTACTTACTAATTTAATTATGGTACTTATTTTTTTTTCTTTGAAAAATCTAGAATATGGAATCTTACATTGTTATTCACTCTATGATGATGTTAACCTTAATCATATATTAAATATATATATATATATATTAGAGGTGTAAAAGAAACATTATTTGGACCAAAGAGGACCCCTAATTCTCAAAATTCATGACAGCTACCATTTCTGGCAGCACCTAAAATATACCATGGTATATTTGACAAACTCCAACTCCTTTATAATGATGCTTTGCTGTTGATAAGTGACACAGTCTCAGAAACTAAATCAGGTCCAGCAGACCTTTCAACATGTTATCCTCTTTTCTAATAATTTTAATACCACTACTCTTAGAATTCAAACCACATGAAAATGAATACAGTTGAAACTGAAAGGCCTGTAATCAATCAGAGGGTGGGCAATCAGGTGAGGGTGGTGGATGTGAGTCTTGCCCAAGTTACTTTTCAATCAGAACAGTGTGTTTGAGTGTTGGTTGGACAGGGCTGTTAGACATCACAGAATCACACTGGCTGTGGCAGCGACGCTGAAAGTTGTCCTGTGCCAAGTCGCTGCATTGGTTCCCTTCTGTCTTTTTCTTTGTCGTACACAGTTCTTTCTCTCAGGGTTCCTACCACCAGCCTCCTGGTTGGCAGGTGCGTATCCTCCCTTCACAGCTACCTTGAGCTAAACTAAACCAGCCTCAAGTACATTACCTTGCACAGTAGCAGGGGGAGTGCTGGGCACCTGTTGTGAGTCTTCTTCATCATTTATGTGGGATGTCAAGTTGGCTGTTGAAGAGAGGAAGGAAAATCATTACAGGTTAGATGGACAGAGTGTGGGGGAGGAGAGTGAAGGATAAAAATGCCTGGGGTAGATGGAGCACCAAAGTCCAAGGGCAGAGGGTTGGGCTGTTCCAGGAGTGGAAGCAGGGCTCTGGGCTCCACACCCAGGCCCTTCGCAGTGTACATCATCCGTCTTAGAAAAGTCTGTATTTGGGAGGTGGGTGTATGGAAGGGGCAGATTAACACAAAGGTGGGACCTTGGGGTTGTAGACATGGCCACAGGCACCCAGGCTGGCGATGTCCAGGTGTTGGACTGAATCTGTATCTCACCTGGAGTAGTCCTTCCTTCCTGGATGACTCTTGGGAGAGCCTTGGCAGGGCCAGCAGAGCTGGGTGGCTTGTCCAGGACCTTATTGCTGTGCTGTGGGATTGCACTGGGCTGATTGACTCTGGGCACAGGGGTCGGGCATCTCAGTGGGGGGCGCTGGGGTGCAGGCAGTGGCAGCAAGTTCTGACGGGGGCTTCTACCTCTTGAGTTGGTTGGGACTTCAAAGACGGTCACTGTGGCTCCTCTCCATCCTCCACAGGAAGCGACAACTGGAATTGTAAAGGAGCACACATCAGCACCCTAGAGACTCAGAATTATGTGGGAAAGGGATTTCTTTACACACATGACTTCCAACAGGTTGGGGGGCATAGAGGTATTCATTCTCCCGACAGGTGCAGAGAATTGATTTATCGTCATCGCCATCTATTTGTGGCCTCTTTTTTTTTTTTTTAAATATTTTATTGATTTTTTTATAGAGAAGAAGGGAGAGGGACAGAGAGTTAGAAACATCGATGAGAGAGATCGATCAGCTGCCTCCTGCACGCCCCCTACTGGGGATGTGCCCGCAACCCAGGTACATGCCCTTGACCGGAATCAAACCTGGGACCCTTCAGTCCGCAGGCCGACGCTCTATCCACTGAGCCAAACCGGTTCGGCTGTGGCCTCTTTTTAATTTATGAATTTGAGCAGTGCTATACTAACTGTATCTAGCCTCAATCTAACAACAAAGTAGTTTCACACACGAAGTTGAGTTTCACTTTGTCCCCAGGGATTTAAATTTTTTAGATTTTCCTTAATTTTGCCTTCAGAATTTAGACAATTATGAACAATGCTTTAATTGAATAGATTCCCCTGTTTTAATAAATAAGCATATCATACTTCCCTGTAGCAAATAAGATAAAATATGAATTTCTTTTCATAGTGTTTCTTGTTTCTGCAGACTCAGCTTCTGTGCCTCCTCACCTTGTACCCTGTGATCTGGCCACACCCAACTTCCTTCCCATCCCTAGTGCCCCAGGCCCATGACTTTTCCCAGGCTGTTCCCTGGCATGGCCAATGGTGGTTTTCTTTTATGATTCTTCTCCATCATTTATTTCAGAAGTAAAGTTGTTTCAATCAGTGAACAGAAAAAGGCAAGTAAGGTAGGATTTTGGAGAGGGACCCAGAAAAAAAGTCACAGAGTAATAGATCAAGAAGGAGGTTTGAGCTCAGCTAGGTCAGGGGGGGGGAAGCCTGACTGTCAGACTTGCTTGGCATGGCCTTTGAGAACAACATTTCTCTCAGAAATGCCCCAATGCTGCCAGGAGCATGGGCCACATGCCTGCCTAAAGGGTGACTTTTCTCTTTTGAGGCCCCTTGAGCCCAAGGTTTCATTTCCCCCTTTGGGAAGGAGGCTTTGGATGGAAAAGTGTTGGAGAGCTCTCAGGATAGCGCTCTGCTGGTCTCTCCCCTGCTGTTCTCAGATAAGTGAACCTTGTGTTTCTCCTCAAACCTGAAACAGTTTTACCATCTGCTCCTTTTTCTTCTTCTTTTTTTCAGATCTCTATCACCATTCTTTTTTCTACTCCTTTATTTATTCAGTTCTTTCTCCCTCTAAGTGTCTTCATGCTCCATGTCTTTCTCATATCCTCTTTCTGCCTCTGTGTCCACAATTCCCCTCCCTTTCTTCTCTCCTCCAGTGCCACACTCTGCCTCCCAGCTATCCACTTTAGTGGAGTGATTAACATTCCAGGCCCTGGTATTAGGAGATACAGGTAGGACTTCTGGCTCTGCTCTTAACAGACAAATAACGTTGGGAAAGTTACTTTTACTTAGAGCATTAATTTCCTTATATGTTATACTAGAGGCCCGATGCACAAAGATTCGTGCAAGAATAGGCTTTCCTTCCCCTGGCTGCCAGCACCTCCTGCACTCCAGCCCGGAGCCTCCTTCCACCTCTCGCCTTGTCACATCAATTTGCATATTCCCTCCTTATTGGCTGTGGGTGCCGCCATCTTTGTCTCGGAGTTACGGTCAATTTGCATGTTCCAGCTTTATTAGATAGGATGGGGATAATTGTGACTCCACAGGATTATTTTATTTTATTTTTTTATTGCTTAAATTATTACAAAGAGTATTACATATGTCTCCTTTTTTTCCCCCCGCCCTTGACAATCCCCTGGCCTCCTCTACCCCCCAGTGTCTTATGTCCATTGGTTATGCTTATATGCATGCATACAAGTCCTTAGGTCTATGAAGTGCCTGGGATATTGCCTGGCACATACTAAGCACTCAAAAAGAAAACAATACCACCAACAAAGGATATACTTATTATTATCTCTTCTTACCCATTACTTTTCCTCTCTTGCTCTCCTTGTCCTTCCATCAGAAAGGGTCTCTGGAACTTTGCATTTCCTCATTTTATGCATTCCTTAGAGACTGTCCAGTATGCTAATTGGTACAATTTTCCCAAATTCTTAGAACAGGTCAGACAGAAACATATGTGCCCTCTAGAAAGTCATCTTAGAGAACCAGGGCTAGAGGCTACTCTTGCTGCCATATCTGTGAGAGAGGATGGCCCACACCTTCCCAAAGAAAAAGTGGGCAATTAAAGTGCCTCTTTTACATGGGCCCACATGCCTGTCTGGGGCTGGAAAAAACCCCAAACTTTCAGCATAGCAACCCCCCTCATGCTTCTATAGCCCCAGAGGTATTTAAGAAGCATCATACCATTTCTGAAGCTCCTCTGAATTGCCACCAGGTTGGGGTATTCACGTAGATTGATCTGACTGAACAACATTTCCAGAAATGACAGATTAAATGGCTCCTCCATTTTGGTGAGAATGTTGTATACCACTTTGGATACAGGGACCATATTTCTACAGGCTTCCATAGACTCCTTAAGAAACAGAATGAAGGATTATTATACATGATTATAAAGATAGAGGTTTGTTATATATTTGTGGTTTTCTAGGTTGTAATAGAGCTATTTTGCTCTTTTAAGAAGGAATTTAATGCAAAATGTATAGTAAAACTCTCTAATGTAGAAAAGTCACAGTTTTACCTGTTTACTTGGGAACTTCATATATACTTTGATAGTCATAGAAATAAATAATTTAGCCTTCTTTAAAATAAGTCTGTTTTGTAAACCTTATTTTAGGTTTATTTGAGGGAATAGAGAAATTTTAAGAAAGGAAAGTGGAGTCAAAGACTGTTATGGTATAATTCCATCCTCTAAGGCTCTGGGCAGGACACTTCAGCAATTGACCCAGTGGTCAGTAACTAGTTGTTATTCTGTTGATTTTTGTTAGCCTGTGTTCTCTTTTTGCCTCTTGGACTTGAGATGGCCCAAATAAGTTCTAGCCATAGGGAAATGACCCAGAGAATTCTTCTTGATGAGAGGATGGCTAAGAAGACAAATATGGCAAGAGAGAATTGATTGTAAAATGTTTATGGAGCACCTACTAGTCTAGTCCTTGTGTACAAAGCAATGGAGAAGATTAACATGGTGCTCTCTTATTGGGGGAGGGGCACTGTCAGGCAAAGAAGATAGGCATCCTATATAATAAAAGGCTAATATGAAAATTGTTCCCTCGACTGGGAGTTTGACTGGGAGTTCGACCAGGGGACAGGGCAGGCTGGCCAAACACCCGTAGCCCCTCCCCTGGCCAGCCCCCCCCCATCGCCTCCCCCCACCCTGATAGGGTGGTTTCCCAGGAAACCACCTGTGCACAAATTCGTGTACTGGGCCTCTAGTTAAATAATAAACACAAATTAAATAAATATCCAATTATTGTTGAGAGAAATTTTATTAAGGGAAATCATAGGAAGAATAATGAGGGGGGTCTTAATTAGGAGTAAGTCAAGGAGACATCTCTGAGAAGTGACAGCTGGGCTATGATCTAGTGAGAGCTTAGAGCCAAGCAGGCCAATACTGGGGGAGAGGGTTCTATCACTGCTAACACTTCCCTAGGCTCAGGAATTGCTTTAAACACCCCAAATTATATGAAAAGAATGCCATTTTTATACACATAGACATATCCCATTGCCTGCCTTTTTTTCACATTAGAATGGACCATGGGTGCCATGCTCTTAGGAATTAAAATGGTGCCATTAGTAGGATAAATGGTGTCCCCTCCCTCCAAAGATATGTCCACTTGAAACCTGTGAATGTGATCTTGTTTTTTTTAAAAAGGTATTTTCTGATATAATTAAGGATCATTTTGGATTAGGTGGGCCCTAAGTCACAATGACAAGTGTTCTTAGAAGAGAGAGAGATGAAGGGAGAAGACACACAAACAAATAAAGTGATGTAGAGATGGAAGCAGTGATTAGATGTTTTTATAAGTCAAGAATACCAAACATTGCTGATACCACCAGAAGAAAGTCAGGGAACAGACTCCCTCAGAAGCTCTAGAAAAAAATCAACCTTAGCAACACCTTGATTTTCGATTTCTGGCCTCCAGAACTGTGGGAGAATACATTAAAAATTTTTTTTTGATTCAGTGATTTTTTTTGGAGAGAGAGAGAGAAAAAAACATTGACGTGTTGTTGAACTTATTTATGTATTCACTGGTTGATTCTTGTATGTTCCCTGACTAGGGATTGAACCCCCAATCTTGGTGTATCAGGACAATGCTCCAACTAACTGAGTTACTCAGCCAGAGCCATTATTTCTTTTAAGTCACCTGGTTTGAGATCACCCTATGATATCCTCTTTTTCTGCCAATGAACATTTGAGTCCAGGCCTTCTAAACTCTAGAAATCCGGTGTGTGTTTTTTGGTTTGGGACTTCAACAATTGGGCTCTTGGTGAGAACTGGGCTGTTATGTGAACGTGGTCAACATGACTCACCATGTACATTTTCTCAGAGATGAAGGATTTGTCTCGGAGGCCTTCCAAGAAGGGAAATGGCTTGCATATGGCATAGGAGATCTCCAGCTTCTGGAAGATGAAGTGCTGGCGAAGAGTTTCTTTTAAGTCTCGGGTGATGTTGAACATCCTATGGAAGGGGCAGAAGAAAAAAAAAGGGAAGCAAAGACATTGTGGAGCTTGGGAAGCTGCCCTCTGTGTTTAGTGAGCATTCTGGCCCCAAAGGCATCCCTGAGCAGTCTGCAAAGCAACATCTGCCTCAAAGACTGGTTATAGGACAACACCCAGCAATAATGGAGGCTAAAAGTGACCAGCGACATGACTCTGAAACCCCAAAGGAGCTGCTGGTTAAACATCGGGCAGGTATTAAAAATAGCTAATATTAATTGAGAGCTTCCAGTGTGCCAGATTTTAAGGGTTTCCCATGAAGTGACTTATTTGACCTTCACAAAACCTTTGATTACTATGATCGCAGCCATTTTTATTGTCAAGGACACTGAGACATAGAGGGGTTTAATAACTCACCCTAAGTGTGCAACCTGGAAGTGGAACAGGTGAATAAATCCTGACTTTCTGGTTCCTGGCTGCCAGTCATAAGCACTATGGTCTGTGGCTACATTGAGCTGAGTTAAGATCTCCTAGACTGCAGCTTAAGGCACACACAAGCCATGCTTATGTAAAAGGGGTGGCCCCAAATAGGCAAAAAGATGGAAACAGGATAAATGTTAGATTAGAAACTTTAATAAATCACCTACAATCTTCAACACACAAATAGGCAAAACATAAATAAAAACACAAAGAATATAAAAGACATAATTAGTTAAGGTGACTTGACTGATTTATGTATCAATTTCATATCTTAGACATGTGCCTTTTCCCATGCCCATGCCACATTTATAAAATTCACCATTTGTAGGCCATGAGAAAATAGTAAGTTTAATTGGCAGGAAATTGACAGATGACATTTCCTGACAAATTGTCAAGAAGAGAGAGGCATTGACAAAATATTTATTCATCTAGAGATATTTAAAAAACAAAATGAACAGAGATCCCATTTTTCCAACTCCATTTTATGTCCAAGAGAAAATAGAACTGTATTTCCCAGGATTTAATCCCAGTGGCAGATTGAGTACCTCGTCTCTCTCTTTCTTCATTCTCAGATCCTTTAAGTTGACAGAAAAAAAGATATTATAAAAAAGAAAATCCAGAACAGTACTAGAAAACAAGAAAACATGCCAGGGGTGGGGGGTAGGGAGGGTAGGGTGGGCCTCTATAATTGTGAAGAAATCCTGGAAGATAGAAAACAAATGGGAAAGAAACCTCCCATCCACGACATGCATGAGGGAAGGATATTGTAAAGAGCACAGAGCTAGAGAAAGTCAGAATGAACACAGGACACGCTAAGAAGAGGAAGGGGCTCTGGGGTTAGGACGACTAATTATACAACAGCTTTCAGAACAGAACACTCCCTTGGTTCCTCACTCTTAAAAAAAGTGCTTTCTGTGATTGTTCAATTACAGTTGACATTCATTATTATATTAGTTTTCAGGGTTCAGTATAGTGGTTAGATATTTATATAATTAATGAAGTGACCCCCCTCATTCCTTGTCTGTTATGATTTCCAGGGATGAAGCACAGAGAGGTTAAGAATTCTGCCCAAGGTATTCGGTGGCAAAGAAGAGCTCATCTGACCAAAGCCCCATTTCTCACCAGCACCTGATACCACATCTCATCTATGAGTGTTCAGATTTTTATTATGTGAAGAAGTCTTAAAAATGAGCAAATAAAAGACAAACATCCACGTAGAAAAAAAGCAAAAGACATAAACAGGCAATTATATAATTGTGCAATAAATATAATAAAAAACAGGGTAACTCACTAGTAGTCAGAACAGTGCAAATAAAGACAACTTAATAACAAGTTTGCCTCTCAAATGGACCACGATAGAAAATAATAGCACCAATCACAGACTCTCCTGGTGGAAGCTGAAGGCTAACTTAGTAATCATGGTCAAATGTCCTAAATATGTGCTCCCTTGAGTCCCAGATTCCACTTCTAGGAATTTATTTCAGGTAAATAATTATGGATATGTTTAAAGAAAAACTATAAGAAGTTTACAATACACCACGGAGGAAATGAAATTTACCCTCCTTATTTCCTCCTTTCTCCCCCCTTCCCAACTACCTTCAGTCACTGGCACAGGGGATAATTAATGAGTTGCCATTTGGGGCAGAGTGCAGGATCACAGAGCTTGGATGAGCACGGTGGCGAGCAAATCTTGTCTCACCCACAACCACAGGCTAGAATTTAGGGAAGAAAGAGTTGAGCTGTGTGTGTGCTGCCCTTCTGTCTGTCCCCCTGTTCAGTAGTCTCCTATTAAATCCCACACACTCTCTATCTCCTTGGAAAACACAGTTTTACAGAGAGTGAGCCGCACAGTTGACGCAGTGGAGTTTCACCCTGCAGCTGCTGCCAGGAAATGAAACTTAAAAGCCCAATCACCAAAAACGAACAAAGCAGCTAAGTGAAAAACCCACCTGGATGCTGAGTTTTCCACCTGCTCCTTCCCTTCTGTGGTGCAGGGGCCAGCCAGCGGTCGCTCCTGGAAGACTGGAAGACAAGCAGGGAGATACCAGCGGGTGAGGCAGGAAGTCTGTGCTTGGCACAGGCAGCAGGGAGGGCCTGGCTTCCCAGGAAAGAAAAGTGAAAGTATCGTGAGCAGTTTGTGCAAGAAGCTGAAGGCTGAACTTGCAGCTTCACTCCACCCCCAGAAACTGGTGAGATTATGAGGGTACCTGGGGTTGCTGCTGCTGGTGGTGGGGTGTTCCCCATCCAGTCCAGTCTGGGAGGGGGAGAAGAGGGGAGGAGGTGTAGGGGTCCAACCCCAGGGTCCTGGGGATCTGAGAAGCCATGGGGGGTCTGCTTCCCTACCCACCTCTATTTCCCATGACTTGTCTTTCTCTACTTTTTGGGTAATGAAAATGTTCTACAACTGGATTGTGGTGATGGTGATAGTCACACAACTGAGTACATTTACTGGAAACCATCAAAGTTTAAAAAACAAACAAGAAATTAAAGGGGAAGTGAGGCAGCTCAGAAATGCTTATAACACACTATATAACGCTGAGCATTGGGGCTGTCCCCAGCCCGGTGTCCTAACACTGGCCCTACCTCCTCCAGTCCCAGGCTCCCTGCTCTGCTAGGCCAGCCGTCCCTTTTCTTTCTCAAGCCACCTCAGCAAGGGGAAGGGACAAATGCGAAGCACACTTAGTCCCCATACAAAGTTACTGCCTCACCTCAGAACAACTTTGATTCCTTTGAATTAGGCTCCCCTGCCTTCTTTCCTTTGGGTAAACAAGTGGCCCCCTGTCTTCCTCCTAGATCTGGCCATGCTCCTCCTCCCCGGAATTGAGGAACTGAGAACGCCCTCAGAGGTTGGGGGGAGGGACAGACGAGGCAGACAGGACAGACACTGATCGGCCTTTTCACTTTTCTTTTACCCTTTGGGTGCCGCGCCTGAAGGATCCTTCAATGGACAGCTGTTCTCCCTAGAGCTGTGGGAAGACAGTCAGGGAAAGCCTAACCGAGGGCGATCCTAGGCCAGCGCCATGGCCCAGCGGGGCCAGCAGATGGCAGGTGGAGACTGTGATCTCAACTGCAGGTCAGTCCTGGTGTCTTCTGTCCTTCATTTCGGGTAAGGTGGGCATCTACTCTTGTTACTTCTGTCTACCCAGCCTCATTCTACAGGTATGCAAGAGAAGGAGATTACAAATAAATACGTAATGAGCACATTCGGTTTTTAAAATTAAAGTGGGAAAATTTAAGGCCACATAACTCACATATTTCCTTTTCTCACATCCCGAACCCTCTCATTTTCCCCATGCCTCCTCTATCCCCACCCAAAGACAGCTCTGTCCAAAAAAGGTCTTTTTAGAAAAATTAACATCCCAGTCAAATGCCCGAGTGTTGTCAAACTTTTTCCAGTTTCCAGGTAGTTGGGAACCAGTTTTATTTGGAGCCCGAGAGTTGATCTAGTGCCTCTGAACATTGATAAGAGGAACTGAAAATAGGTGGTGCCCAACAGGGACTAATATAATCATGCGGGGAGCATGTGTTGCTTTTTTTCTTTTAATTCTAGGATGTAATACCCATCTGGTTAGAGAAGGAAGCAAATATTCTTTTAAAATGCACGATTAAAAAATAATTTTAAAAATGCAAAATAAATACATCAATATGTTCTTGTTGGTAAAAATTAAATGTATAATTTATGGAAACTCATGCAGTATGGTGGGTCCCGAACACCCAGCACAATCTCTCCTGGCAGCAGAGAGCATGTCCTGATCACCACTCCTCCACCTGCTCCCATGACATTTGAAGATGAGTGAGTAGAGCTAGTAGTCCAGTCAGCCTTTGGTCTTCAGGCAGGAAAAGAAAGGCACTGAGAAGTGAGGTCAGGGGTAATGCTGGCCTCATAAAATCATTTAGGAGGTGTTGCCCTTGCTTCCATTTTCTGGAAGAGATTGTAGTTGAGATGGTTTGGTGGAATTCACTAGTGATACCATCTGAACCTGGTGCTTTCTTTTGGAGAGGGGCTATTAATTATTGATCCAATTCCTTTAACAGATATAGGCCTATTCAGATGATCTATTTTTTTCTGTTGAGTTTTGGTAGTGTGTGTCTTTTAAGGAATTTGTCCATTTCATTTTTTACCAAATTTGTAGACATAGTTGTCCATATTATTTCTGAATTATCCTTTTATTTATTTATTTATTTTTTAAATATATTTTATTGATTTTTTACAGAGAGGAAGGGAGAGAGATAGAGAGTTAGAAACATCGATGAGAGAGAAACATCGATCAGCTGCCTCCTGCACATTTCCCACTGGGTATGTGCCCGCAACCCAGGTACATGCCCTTGACCGGAATCGAACCTGGGACCTTTCAGTCCGCAGGCCGACGCTCTATCCACTGAGCCAAACCGGTTTCGGCTGAATTATCCTTTTAATATCCATGGGATGAATAGTGATTTATTTGTTTCTGTTATTAATAATTTTCCTTCTCTGTTTTTCTTTGTTAGCCTGGCTAGAAGTTTGTCAATTTTATTGAATTTTTTTTTCTAAAAAATTATCTTTTGGTTTTATTGATTTTCTCTAATGTTTTCCTGTTTTCAATTTCATTGGGTTCTACTCAAACTTTTATGATTCCTTTTCTACTGCTTCCATTAAGCTTATATTTCACTTTTCCCCCCTTTAGTTTCCGTAGGTGGTACACTTTAAGTTGTCCCAGAGACTCCTTACACTGTCCTTATTTTTTTGGAATGTATTTTTTTTTGTTGTTGTTCTGATTGGGTGTTTTTTGCTTCCTTATATTCCAAATCACTGTTTTGATTATTCACTTCATCTACTGTACTGTTGATTTCCTGTAAATTATTCTTCATTTCAGTTAGTTGGGGGGAGGGACAGACACGACAGACACTGAGTCATTTGTGATTGATTCTTTCTTATGGTTTGCATGTCCTTTTTTATGCTGTTGAAGTTCTCTCTAAGTTCATATACACTTTCCCTAAGATCATTGAGCATCTTTTTAACCAGTGTTTTGAACTCTGCATCTAGTAGATTGCTTGCCTCCATTTTGTTTAGTACTTTTTCTGGAGTTTTGTTCTGTCCTTTCATTTTGGACATGTTTCTTTGTGTCCTTATTTTAGCAGTTCTGTGTTTGTTTCTATGTATTAGGTAGAGCTGTTATGTCTCCTGAGCTTGATAGAGTAGCCTAACTTAGTAGTTGTCCTATAGGGTCCAGGGACACAACCTCCTGGTTCACCTGATCTGGGCCTCCAGGTGCAACCCCATTGTGGGCTGTGTACCACGTCCTGTTGTAGTTGAACCTTTATTGCTGTTGGTACATCAATGAGAGAGATTTACCCCCAGGCTGATCGGTTTCAAGGACTAGCTGCAACCGTTGTGGATGATCAGCTGTGCAGGGCTCTGGTGCTTGCTGAATCCATCCCTTGAGTGTGTCAATAGTGGGTGGTAGTTCAATGTGGTTTGAAGCTGCCGACTAAATGTACTGGCTCTGGGGTCACCTGGCATAGCTACATACAGGTCTGCAGATGGTTGCTAGTTGTGCTGGTCTTGGAGGTGCCCAGGAGAGACAAAGCTATGAACCAAAGCTGGCTGCCACTAGTGCTGGGCCTAGGGCAACTTAACAAGAGGTACTGGGCACATGGAAGCCAGGTGCTGCTTGTTTGGGAAATTTTAAGAAAGTCTGAAGCATAAGCCAAGACAGGCCATTGGTATGGAAAAGCTCCTGGAAACAGCTTTGGTAGGCTCAGAAGTTGGGTAGGGCAGGATCTCAGGGAATCACCAAGATGGGGGGAATGATGACTGACAGCTCTGTGGGGTAGGTCTCAGAAAAAGTACCCACCTAATTGTTATCTGCCACATGTGGATGGGACCAGCCCATTCTGCATTTCTGCCCCTCCTACTAGTCTCAATATGGCTTCTTCTTTAATTCCCTAGTTGTTGAACTTCCATTTAGTTAGATTTCAGATGGTTCTGAATGATGATTGTTCTGTATAGTTTAGTTGTAATTTGATGTGGTTGTAAAAGGATGCTAGTACTGCATACCAATGACACCATCTTGACTGGAAGTCAATGCTACTTTTAAAATTGTATACACATTAAGTATTGCCATGAAATTCACCCCTTTATCCTATATAATAAAAGCCTAATATGCTAAGTGTCTGGTCGACTGGCCGGCTGTTCACCAATCAAAGTGTAATATGCTAATGATATGCTAAAGCCGCTCAACTGCGCACTATGATGTGCACTGACCACCAGGGGCAGATGCTCCAACTGGTAGGTTAGCTTGCTGCTGGGGTCTGGCCAATTGGGTCTGAGGGAGATGGGCCAGACATGCCCTGGAGCCCTCCTGCAGTCCCTCCCTGGCTGGCCAACCTCCCGCGTTTCTCCCTGGCCCCAATCGTGCACTGGTGGGGGCCCTTGGCCTGGCCTGTGCCTCTCGCAATCTGGGACCCCTCAGGGGATGCTGGAGAGCTGGTTTTGGCCAGATTCCAAAGGCCAGGCTGAGGGACCCCACTGACCCCTCTTGCACCATGCCTCTAGTCCTAATATAGAAAAATCTAGAGACTGTCATGACTGAAACAACCAGACAGACAACTGAACAGCAGCCTGCATAAGCGACCAAGCTGGCAAGGGGGTTAGTGAGGGAGGACCATACGACTGAATAGCAGGCTGTGTGGGGCGATCATGCCAGCAGGGAGACATTTGGGGGCGACCAGGCCGGTGGTGGCGGGCAGTTGGGGGTGACTAGGCTGGCAGAAGGGGAAGTTAGGGGCAAGCAGGCTGGCAGGCAGAAGGAGTTAGGGTTGATCAGGCTGGCGGGGGCGGGGGGGCAGTTAGCGGTGATCAGGCAGGCAGGCAGGGGAGCAGTTAGAAGCCAGAAGTCCTGGATTGTGAGAGGGATGTCGGACTGCCAGTTTAGGCCCCATCCCTGGGATCAGGCCTAAACCGGCAGTCAGACATTCCCCGAGGGGTCCTGGATTGGAGAGGGTGCAGGCTGGGCTGAGGGGACCCCCCCCCCCCCCCGCCGCACAAATTTTGTGCACCGGGCCTCTAGACATTATATAATGCCCTTCCTATCTCTGACAATTATACTTGTTCTGAAGTCTGCTTAGTCTGAAATTAATATAGCTACTACAGCTTTCTTTTGATTAATGTTGGCATGGTATATCTTTCTTCATCCCTTCACTTTTAATCTATCTGTGTTTTTGTATTTAGAGTGACTTGCTTATAAACAGCATATAGTTGGATGTTGTCATTTTTCTCTGTCAAAGTCTATGTTTTAATCAGTATATTTAGACCATTCACATTTAAAGTGATTAGTCATGTTGTTGGATTAATACCTATAATTTTATAACTGTTTCCTATTCATTGTATTTGTTTCTATTTGTTTTTCCTTTTTTCTTTTTTGTTTTTGTTTTAATTGAGCATTTTATGATTCCATTTTCTCATCTTTCAGTATATCAATTATACTTCACTTAAAACATTTTTATTTCTGCCCTAACCGGTTTGGCTCAGTGGAGAGAGCGTCGGCCTGTGGACTCAAGGGTCCCAGGTTCGATTCCGGTCAAGGGCATGTACCTTGGTTGCGGGCACATCCCCAGTGGAGGGTGTGCAGGAGGCAGCTGATCAATGTTTCTCTCTCATCGATGTTTCTAGCTCTCTATCCCTCTCCCTTCCTCTCTGTAAAAAATCAATAAAATATATTTTTTAAAAAAGAATACAATATGCTGACATAACAGAAAACATAAAAAGAAGTCCATTAAAAAAATTTGATTGCTTTCCCTAGAGTTTGCAATAAATATTTACAACTAGCTATATCCATTTTAAATATAGTGTACTGCTTCATGGTTAGTGCATGTCTCTTATAATAGGATGTAACAAATCCGTCCCGCCTGTCCTTTATAACACTACTACCAGTCATTTCACTTATTCATATGCTGTAATCACATAGTTGTTATTACTTTGAACAAATAGTTATCTATTAGATCAGTTTATAATAGGAAAAAATTATTGTACCTACATTAATTTCTTTCTAAGAGTCTTCCTTTCTTTATGTAGATCTGAGTTTCTGATCCATATAATTTTTCTTCTGCCTATAGAACTTTTTAAAAAAATTTCTTTTCAGGTATTTCTTCAAGAAAGGAATTACCTCACTGCTTGTTTGAGAAAATATTTATTTCTCTATCACTTTGAAGGTTAATTTCAAAGGATAAAATTTTTAGATTGGTGTTGTTTTTTCATCACTTCAACTATTTCTTTTCACTTTCCTGCATGGCTTCTGATGAGAAGTCTGATATAAGTTTTATCCTTGTTCTTCCATAGATAAGATTTTTTTCTCCTCTTCCTTTTGGATTCTTTTAATAATTTTCTTTGTCTTTGCCTTTGCCTTCTGCAGTTTGAATATGAAAAGACTTGGTATAGATTATTTGGCATTTATCCAGTTTGATATTTACTGAGGTTCCTGACTCTATGGTTTGTCGTCTATCATTAATTTTGAAAAAAATTTGGCAATTACTACTTGAACCATTTCTTCTGATTTCTCTTTTATCCCCTAGTATCCAACTTACTCACCTATTATACTTTTTGAGATTGTTTCATCATTCTTTGATAGTGTGTTTTGTCCCCCCCGCCCCTTATATTTTTTCTCTTTGTATTTTATTTTGAGAAGTTTCCATTGGCATATCTTTAACTCACTGATTCATTCCTTGGTCATGTCCAATCTGCTGATGAGCCCATCAAAGGCATTCTTTTTTTCTGTTGTAGTATTTTTGATTTCTAGCATTTTCTTTTTTATTATATCTTTGAGTTTCCATCTCTTTGCTTACTTCACTCTCTGCTCTTGCATGTTGTTTGCTTTTTCCATTAAAGCTCTTAACATTTTAATTAGTCATAGATATTTTAAATTCTTGTTTGATAATTTGAAAACCTTTCATCTCTGAGTCTGGTTTTGATGATTTCTTTGTCTTTTCAGACTTTTGCATGCCTTATAATTTTTTTGAAAGCAAGATGTGATGTATCAGGTAATAGGAACTAAGGCAAATAAGTGACTAATTTGAGGTTTTATGTTAATTTGGCTAGCAAATGGGTCATGGTTAATATTTGTTCCAACTGTCAGAGGCAGAGGCTTCAAAGTCTTCCAGTGTTCTTGTTGTCTCTCCTACTTTAAAAAATTTTTATTCTCTGGGAACTCTTTCTTAAATCTGGCCTTGCATCCTTTTCAGCTGTAATCCAGTTATTTACTGGAACCCTGTTGGTGTAGCAGTAAGGTGTTGGGAGGGAAAGCATTCTATAATGTTATGATTAAATCTCAGTCTTTTGGAACTGTGTCCCTGGACTGTACATTTTAGAATGATTTCATAACTGTATCCCTTTACCATGCATCATTTGGATGATACTGAAAGGCTAGCAAGGTCTTAATTTTGGAAACTGCCCTTCCCCTAGGTCAGATAAGTCTGGGTAAAGTGTTTTCCCTGGAGAGTAGGCCTTTGTTATGGAGAATGCTCTGGTTATTTCAAAGGTTTTGTTTTCTCATCCTCATGCCAGAAACTCAGGGGATTTTTCTTAGCACTTCCTCAAGAATAACTGGTGAGGTTCCTGGGGGTAAAACTGACAAAAGGTTCTCACTGTCATATAAGTCAATAGTCAGTCTCCAGCAATTCATCAAATTTACCATTTAAGTGTTTCTTTGGTTTATGGATCTAGTTACCTCTGGTTCAGGCAGCTGATATTATATGTGATTCTCCAAATTTGCATTCAATACAGATTTGGGGGTGGCAGTTTGCCCTGTGACCTGGATTTTCTGCTAGGTACATGACAAGTAATTGATTTTTAGTTTGTTGACTTTTTCTTTCCATGAGGATGAAAGCGATGACTTCCAAAGTATTTGCATGTCAGGGCTGAAACCAAAAGGCTAGTGTACTTTTAGAATCTCCTTATGTTTAGTTTTTTTTCTTTAAAAAATATTCTTTTGTTTTAAAATTTGATCTTGTTGTAATATGATCTTATAGCCAGAACATGTAACTGTTCATTTTCTCCGTATTATTTATTTCGCTTAATTCAAGGCCAAATAATTGATATAAATATATTTTTCTAATTTGTAAAACATATCCTGTGTGTGTGTGTGTGTGTGTGTGTGTAAATACTTTAGGAGTTAAGGATAGAATGTAAAGTGGTTCTTAATCACCATGAAAAATTTGTCTATTCGTGGTCTTAAATTTTACTTTGAAAATATAAATATTGTTAATTTTGCTTTCAATCTTGTTTGCATTTGTCTAATGTGACTTGCCCATCTTTTTCAGCTTAAAATTTTTAATGTCACTTTGTTTTTGTTGCATCTTTTCTAGTTAGATTCTATTTTGGCCATTGTACTTTAAGATGGTAATTTAATCTATTTTAAATGACATATATCTCCCTGCTTATAAATGTTTTGCACTTTTTATATCTTATGCTTCTTTGTTTTTTCTGATTAAAAACAACAGAGTATATTTTCTTCACTATTTTTGTTGTTGTTGTTAATCCTCACCTGAGGATATTTTTCCATTGATTTTTAGAGAAAGTGGAAGGGAGGGGAGAGACAGAGAGAGACACATCGATTAGTTGCCTCCCCCACGCACCCCAAGCACTCCGACTGTGGCTAAGGATTGAGCCTGCAACTGAGATACCTATCCCTGACCAGAATCAAACATTGATCCTTCAGTCTGCAGGCTGACGCTCTATCCACTGAGACAAATCAGCTAGGGCTTCTTTACTTTTATTTTTTGTAAGATTTATACTCTCATTTTTGGTGCTATTTGTTACCCTTAAGTTTTCTAATTAATTCTCAGGTATATATTTCTCTAATTGATAGCATCAAATGTGAACCATAGCATTTGAGTTTACTATGGTTTGAAATAAGTCATTTAACTGAATTTTTTAATTGCCCCATTCAATTAAAATTTTTAAATATAATCTGATGTTTTACATTAAAATTATTATGATTTTACTATTATATTCTCTCTTTCTAGAACAGTGCTTCTCAAATTCTTTGGATTCAAGATCCCTGTGTATACTTCCATATCACTGAGAGCCCTAAGGAGCTAGCTTTTGTTCATGTGGGTTATAACCATTGATATTTACCACATAGAAATTAAAACTTTGAACACTTAAACATATTTATTTATTCATTAAAAATAGTAATGAACTCATTACCTGCTAACATAAATAACATATTTTATGAAAATGGCACATTTTATGAAAGTATGTTTTTCAAAATAAAATAAATTTTATTTAAAAAGATAGCAATGTTTTGCACTTTTACAAGTCTCTTTAGTAGCTAGTTCAGTGGAAGACAGATTTTACTGTCTGCTTCTGAATTCAATCTGTTGTGTTATCATAGGCCATGTATTCTCTGGAAAATTCCACTTGACATTTGTTAGAGTGTGAGAGACAAGAAGGGTAAATATATCTTTGTATTATTGTGAAAACAGTTTTGTTTTTTTAAAAAATCCTCATCCAAGGATATTTTCCATTGATTTTTTTACAGAGAGTGGACGAGAGAGGGAAAGACAGAGAGGAATATTGATATGAGAGAAACACATTGATTGGTTGCCTTCTGCATGAGCCTGGACCAGGGTCAGGGAGGAGCCTGCAACCAAGGTACATGCCCTTGACCAGAATTGAACCCAGGACCCTTCTGTTCACAGGCGGACGCTCTATCCACTGAACCATACCAGCTAGGGCTAAAAACAGTTTTTACTTTAATGACACGTGGAAGGGTCGAGCACAGTCCCAGGATATTGTTAATGTAAGAATGTGCAAGGCTATACAGCACCTATTTGAGTTTATTTGACCCAAATTGAGGACATGCCCAGAAGCAAGCTCTTAACTAATTAATAAAATTCTCAGAGAATGGCAGTTTTACAGCCTTCATTTATTTTTGTACATTTGAAATCAAAGGAGGAAGGAATATTGCATGATGTCCATTGTTGATAGATTAAGGAGACAGAGAAAGCAAGATGGGAAATCCATATGATTGAGTAAAATGTAAAATGGAGAGATATACTTCTTTTACATTGGTGGATGTAAGATAGTTAACATTTAACATTTACAGTGAATGAGGGTGGTATACAGGCAACAAGACCATTTGCTCTCTTGAGTAGTTATACCTCTAAGCATACTTTTTAATGTACTTTTTAATGTAGTTATACCTCTTAGGGATCTGAAAAGAGTATTATTCTGGTATTTCCAAGGTATGTTAACCTTTGAACACAGAAACAATGGACAGGGCTTGCTTAAGGCAAAGATAAACTTTTTAGTAAATAAATTATATGTCTTGGGCATGACTATGCACCATGATTTGCCCAGTAGGAATTTATGTTCAGATCACCCTGTGAGGTGGCTTTCCATAGAACCCTCCCCCCCTTTTTGGTTGTTCACAGTTTTTAAATTTTTATAACCTTCTTTGTTTTATATTTGTATTAGTCACAATTTTCTGAGAGAGAAAGAGAGAGACAGAGAGAGGGATTTGAAATATGTATTACAAGGAGTTGGCTCACACGATATGGAGGCTGGCAAATCCAAAATATTCAGTGTGGGTCAGTAAGCTGGAGACCCCAAGAGCGGATAGTGCATTTCCATCTGAAAGCAGTCTGCTGGAGGATTTCTTCTTACCCAGGGAGGCTGGTCTTTTGGTTCTGTTCATGCTTTCAGCTGATTGGATGAGGCCAACCCACATTAGGGAGGACAAACTGCTTATATAAAGTTTACCAACTTAAATGTTAGTCTTGTCCCCAAATACTCTTCTAGTTGACATGTAAAATCAACCATTACTGCCGCAACCTGTTACAGCAAGGGTTCAGGAATCTGGAGAAGGGGCTGCGACGTAAATGAAGAGACTAGACAAGAAATATAAATTTGGAAGGCATTGGGGGAAGCCAGGCAGATCACTTCCCTCTAGTGGAGAAGCTCACTGAATCTCTGGACCCACGGCTTTTTATTTACTGGAATACACATTTGCCCTTTAGCAAAGCAAACACACATCAATGGTAAGGTTTTGTAAACAATAAAGGATTATCAGGTTAGGGGGATTGCCTTCAGCTGTTCAGCCAGCCGCAGGTAATAATATGCAGATTTTCAGCCCTGCTGACTATCAAAGTCCCAAGGTCCATCAGCCTTCTGAAGGACTTCTTGCATAATTATGACCTGCTGGTCTTAGCCTCCAGCACATTACAATATCATATTAATTTCTGTAAAAAGTTTAACTTTTAAAAAATTCCTTGTCTTCTCTAGAGGGTTCGGGTGAAAGTCTTTTTGTAGTAGTTTTGATTGGCATAGGGTGAACTCTTTCACTTTTCTATATACAAGTCTCTCTTAAGCTCAGTGTTTTCTTCTATTGCACCCTTGATTATTCTCTAAATAAGTGAATTCCATTTATTCTGGTCTCTTCACAAGAACACTATTTTACATGTGTTGGCTCTCCATTAACTATCTTTCAAGTCTAAAATCTTCTAGCCCACCACAAGCCTCCTAGAAACCCAATGTCTAGGGAGGTAAGATATCAACCAAAGGACTTGTATGCATGCATATAAGCATAACCAATGGACATAGATTAGGGGGATGAGGGCATGTGCTGGGGGTTGGGGGGGTGGGAATGGCCAGGGAGAGGTCAATAGGGGAAAAAGGAGACATATGTAATACTTTCAACAATAAATAATTTAAATTTAAAAATAAAAAAGAAACCCAATGTCTATTTTTACATCGTGTCTTTGTTTATCAGGGACCAGAGCCCAGAGGACCAGAATCCAGAGGAGCAGGTTTTCTATGAGTTCTTTTTTAGGCTCTTCAAGGAAAATAAGGTGGAGATTGCAAAGGCAATAACGAAGCCATTTCCTTTTCTTATGGGCCTCCGAGACCGTGGCTTTATCCCTGAACGGATGTATAATGTAAGTGAAGGGGCTTTCCGCCTGATAAACAGCCCCTCACTGTATTATTACAAAATTTGGGATGCGATGGACAGGCTAAGGGGCTCCCTGTGAGTGTGGACCTTCATCATCTTATACTTTAGGAGATGACAGGAGAAGCAGCACCACAGAAAGCATTCCCTCTCCTGTAGTAAGTGTTGGTGGAGGGGCATGGGATGGAGATTTGGCAGGATTGGAATGGGAATGCTCCATAGGTACAGAGAATCTTAGTTTTATTGAAGACAAGCCTTCTCTCTGTTTGTGAATTTTCTTTGCCCTTTGGCCAGGTCCAGAGCAGGGAAGAGTGGTTGTCTGGTTTCCTGGAAACTTCAGGCCAATGGAGGGCAGTGGGGTATTGTCTAGACACCAAAATAGCCACTCATAATGTCAGGCCAACTCTTGAAGCATTCTGGCCAGACTCTTAGAGCCCCCACACAATATTCAATTTGAAACCACTTTTGTTCTTCAAAATAGCTCTCTCAAGCGTACACCAATGTTAGAGAATCAGGTTCACAAAAATAAGTGTATTTTTCTAGTGGGGAATATTTAAAGAGTCATCTAAATGTATGTGACATTCTAATATTTTCCAAGAGAACAAATAGTTTATTTATAATATGAATATTCTCTAACTTATAAATGCATATTTATAAAATTGTCCTTTCAATATTTTTAAGCATTTTCAAGAAGCTTGTAGAAATCTGGTCCCCATGGAGAGAGTGGCATATAATGTTCTCAGTGAACTGGAGAAGAAATTTGACATGACAGTTCTGAATGCCTTGTTCAGCACAGTTAACCTGAAGGATTATCCTGATTTACGTGAGATTTTCAGAAGCTTCCAAAATGGTAATTATAATTTTCAATGAAATTTGGGGATTCAAGTCCATTTCATTCACTGATTCATTTATTCATCCACTCTTCATTAATATCTGACAGTTGTCCTGGTTGGGTAGTTCAGTTGCTTAGAACGTCGTTCCAATATACCAAGGTTATGGGTTCCATCCCTGGTCAGAGAACATACAAAAATCAACCAATGGAACAACAAGTATCTCTCTCTCTCTCTCTCTCTCTCTCTCTCTCTCTCTCTCTATATATAT